ACGAGGACTCATGATGATCAGGATGATGACTCCTCCTTGCCAACTCCCCCATCCCAAAGCCCTCCTTTTTGTGTGTGTTTCGTCTGGTGTGTGTGTGTGTGTTTGCACATACAGTGGGGTCAAAGGTAAACTGCCAAAAACGTTTCATCATTTATTAAAATAATACAAATGGTCAAATAGTAGTGCTATTACTTTTTCAGAAAAGTTTTGGTACCGTTTTCAATGATCGTCAGAGTTTTGGTGTTTCCACCGTTTGCCTTAATTACAGCTTGCACTCTGTCTGCCATCAGATGTTTCGCAGAGATTGAGAATTGAAATTATTCCAGCACTGTTTGAGAGCACCCCCTTCCCCCCCAATTGTTTTGAGTTAACATTATATTTCACCTTTTTATAATCGCAGAAATGTTAGCATGCCACTGCACAATAAAGCGGTATTACTGCGCGATTTATCACATTACAAGTTACTGACTCTAGATGAGGCAAAACAGCCCAAAAACGAAATATATCCATCTTTGTTTTTAACTCTAGTTATTGCCCTGTTTTTAAACTTTTGTTTTTTTTTCATTCGTATGGTTGAATTTCGTCAGTCATTAAAATTGTCGGTACTGGTATAACATTTGACTTGCTTTTGTTTTGGTAACTGCGCCAGTTTGTCTATCTTTTAACTGTAGTTGGGTTGGTCTTGCTTCTTGGATGCAGATGCATAAAGATGTAGGCTTTAAACAATAGTGCCATCTCTACTTCAATTTCGTTTTTAATTTACAAAAATAAATTCTTGTTTTTGGAATCTTTCCAGGTCTTTTAATCACTTCTGCTTTTATGATTCGGCATTTTCAGTAGTAACAATAACGGTTTATTACTTATGAAAGCTGAAGTGCAAAACTTCTAGCAGTTAGAGTAATTACCACATGGGAGAGGCCATAGCCGTTAGGTGTATGGTGGAAAATCCTAGCTTTTCATTACGTATAAGAATTTCCCAAAGATAAAAATCACATGTTAGCTCTAAATAACCTCCCGCAAATCAACAAAATTGTCTTGATAAATGATGAAAACAAGCTGTCCATGTGGTGGTCTCCTGAACCCCTGTAGCTGGCCAGCTCTTTGTCTGGTTAGTCAGATTGTCTGGTTTTGTGTAATAGATTGTCTCCATCCACCCGTGTCTTTAGTTGTTGCTGTTTTTTATTGTTCTTCTTTTGGTTGGTTGAGAGTGTCGTTCCAGACTTGTCCCTTGAATTATCGGTGGGCTTAGACTGATGGACTCTTTGCTGTTTGACTCATTAACCAGTCGATGAGCTGGCCAGTTCGTCCTGTCACTGTCCATCATTGTGGCAGAATATCTCTGTCCCTCTCCCGCCTGTCTGTTCGACTAATGCAATCAACATAGTCCCCGTCCTCTTGAACCCCCCTTCAGTAGTGTTCATCACGACTGCTCCCTTTTGATCCCTCAAAGCAGCGTCTTTCAGTTAGGGATTGTCGTCTCCTATACCTTTCTCTGCCTCTTAAACCTCAGGGCCTCAATAGACTTTCACTGAGAGATAAAAAAGAGAAACTCTTACATTACAATTGCTCCTCACCTCCACCTCATCTTCTTACTTTCTGCATCACTGGGTGGTTGCCGAGGGCAGAGAGTGAAGTGAAAGTCTCTAAACCCACAGCCAGCGTGTTAACACATGACTGGGTGCTGCTGTTGGTCCTGATTTGGCTCCTTTTTGTGTTTGCTTCTTTGTATGCAAATGTCATTAGAAAATCAAAACACACCTGAAGCGACATTTTCTGTCAGATAATGCTCACACTATCTTTCCATAGATGTGAAAATGTTACGTTTTTTTCTCCGTTACTCAGACTAAGCTTAAGTGCGGCTGTCCGTTTAACGACAGGGAAGGAATCAACATGCAACTTAGCTATCCATTTGCATTTGAATGATTATAACACTGATTGCGTGTTGTGTGTTTCTGTGTGTGCGCGTGTATATTTACATTTACTATTCATCTGTCGACAACAATGTCAGGGTTTTCTTGTTCCGGTCCCTGGAACAAGTGCAGACTTGTGTCAAACCAGTGAGTTTGTCCAAATGACCTTTTAGACTTTGTCCAGTGGAGAAACCATTGTGTGTTTGCACAGTGTTCTAGTGCCGTGTTGGTGAGGCCTGAACTGGCTGAGGATTTAACCGAATGAAAAAAGAAAACGCCCTCTGAGTATTACACTTTTGGACACACTGAACAGCATAATGTGATTATAGTACTCGCGTGGCATCGAGTAAACCACACACATTTTGAGTTGTGTTTTTATGGCTGTGGGTATTAAATCTGTTGCCCTTTTCACAGAGCAGAGCACTGTGCAAACCTTTGACTCAAACAGATGGATTTTATGCCAAGGAAACCAAGTGCAGCCCCACAAAGGTTCATTTTAAAGACTACGGAGCAATGGATGCATGTGGTGGATTTAACGCTGTGTGAATTTACTCTACCTTTTGGATTTTAATGTGAAGCCAAAGGAGTGAAACATTTCCTCCTGGCCTTGCGCTTCGGAGGCTCACAGAGACTGGATTCTGTTGAGGACAGAGAGGAAATCTACCCCTGAACCGGATCTTTAATGGATTTGATATCAAGGCACAACAGGAAAGGGATTAAGGCCAGAGATGTTGAACTTTTCTTGATGTGGTCCACATTTTTTTGCCACTCCCTCATCATACAGAGAAGAAGTAGAAAAAGTGATGACATGTACTGAATTCATGTGTATCTGCTAATGTACTAGTTTGACATTTTAGGAAGTATGCTGATTTTTGGTGGCAACGAATATCTATACCACTTTCTTCGCTGAAAAGAGTTAGCTTGGCTTTGTCTTGCTATTTAACCTCAGCCCCTATTAAACAGCAAGTTGTCCCTTTTTACTTTTATGAGTTGTGTGCAGATTCAACAAACAAGCTGTTACGTCTTATTGAGTAAGCTTTAGAGAAGCTAGCCAGGCTAGCTTTATGCTAAACTTAGATAACAGGTTGCTGGCTGTAGCATTGTTTAAACAGAGAAACAAGCTAATTATATTGTCATCATCACACTCCTTACCAGAAAGCTAAAAAGCGTATTTCCCAAAATGTCAAACTCCTTTTTTTCACCGCACCTATTTTCACCTTTTCTATATGAAGCCAAGGCCATAAGCTGGTTAGCTTCGCTTTGCACCAAAAATCACATGTTTTAGCTCCAAATAAAGGGAAACTGAAAAAGATAAAAAACTAATTGTGAAAAAGAGAAGGCCGTTTTCTTGGCCTGTAGTTTACCTTTGGACAGAGCCAGGCTGTATGGTTCCCTCTTTTTCCAGTCTTTGTGCTAAGCTACGCTAAATGGCTGCTGGCATTAGCTTCACATTTATCAGACAGATGTGATAGTGGTATCTGTCTTCTCAACCAACTCCAGGCACGAAAGCAAATAAGGGTGTTTCCAATAATGTTATCCTCTTTAATTTAACAGTTGTGTCCTATCACAAATGTAGAAATCAGAATCGGCGTTATTGTTTAGGCTTAGTGTTGCCCTTATGATAGCAATTCAATGATCAGTTTAGAGCAATCTTAAATGCTCCTTCTTTTTTTTAGTCAAATGTATGCCTTGTTTTATAACGAGGACAGGAAAAGAAAAGCTCAGGAGGCCTTTTGAGGGAAATGAGCAAAAAAAACAATTATCTCCGAGGGATTTTAATTTTCTTAACTCAACCTAAGAAGTGACACACTAAAAAGGACTGTGGTCTAAGATGTTGAGATGGTCTTCCCCACAAACAGTTCCATACTGAATGAAATCATTTAGTTCATTTAATCTGGTCGTGTGTAAGCATGTGTGTGCACAAGTGTCATTTTTTAAAGTATGGGCCTTCACATGGTCACACACATGGACTGACCTGTGTGTGTCCACAATGCGTCCTCACCTTTTGATGTTAATGCTGTCCTTGTTGGGTTTTTCTTTGGTTTTTATGTATTTTTTCCTTATCATTTTGTGTTTGATAGGATGCAAATGTCACTCATAAAGTTTCTATTGTAAAAATAAATAAATGACATTGTTGGGTTTATTTTCATTGTAGCTCTGATCACTGTCGCTTAGTGAACGTCACGGAAAAAGGACGAAGCACAGCAAGTTGGTTTTTGGATAGGAAATATTGTAGTGAGTGATATGCAAATGAGGGGCATACAGTTAATGTGGTTACTGGAAACTCCTTCAAAAATAAAACGGTATGTCATTGAGGCCTTTTGAAAAGTTCTTACCTTATTTAGTACTCTGGTCATGATGGATGATTAGTTGTTTTTAATTAATGTATTAGCTTAAAGTGTTGGATCAGCCAATTTACCTAATCAGTGGTATCTAGCCATGGGTTATTTGTCCTGATGTTGAGATACCTGATATTTCTGCCTCCATGCCATTCTGATTAATTGTAATGGTAATCATTCTTAAGGGGTCAATACGTCTAACAAGTACTTTACTTTTGTATACATTTATTTGGATGCCAATACTTCTTCAATTTGAATTTTGAATGAAGGACTTTCACTTGTAACAGAGTATCTTTACAATCTAGTATTGCTATTTTACCTAAAATATAAATTCTGAGTACTTTTTCCTCCATTGATTACAACTGATCATGACACTGAACGCATTGAGATGATTTTAAGATATTTCACAGCTTATAAGATGATACATAAACTAGTAAGGTGCAAAGCAAAATGTGTATTCGCAAAGGGAACTCTCATTTCAATTCAGAACAATTAGCTGTGTTTTAGAACCGGGAGAGGAGCTTTTCTGCTCAACCAGGCACGGAATTAATTACTGCTTTAATGACGCCCTGATGGGTCTCAAAGCAATAGTTCAGCTGCTCGATGCACAGTGTTACTTTATAATGTTTATGCCTCGTGAAAGTCTCTCACTGACCTCCAGCTCACTGCTCTATCCCGTGTCCTTAAAATACCCAGAAGAAAAGTGTCTGTTAATTGAGGAGAGTACTTATGAGTTGCAAGAAGACAATTGTTTCTTTAATTACTTTAATTTCATCCCTTCGACAGGGGCCATTAATCCTGTGTGTGGCATTGAGAGCAGAATGTTCCTGTTTGTAGTACAATGTGACTGTCACAGTGACCAGGGTCAAGTATAAAAGCCTGTCTTTAATTTCACTCTTCCCTAGTGAGAGAAAAAGCAGTGTTGATTAAATGTATTTTTGGTTCTTCCCGCTCTTTATGACTATATTCCATCATCTAATTTTCAAATTACTTTTAGGTTGTTGAACAACATGAGGGGGTCAGATTGGATTAAAAAATACTTTGAATCTACAGATTCTGCCTGGATTAATAACATGTCCACAGTGACCGTACATAAAACCTCTGCTCAATCGTGCCATCGTAAAATGAGATTTATGTGTCAATGCTGCCTGTTGTTTTTATAACATTATTGTTTGTCCTAAAAACTTGGTTTTGTTTTAAGGATTAGCTTAAAGGGACAGTTAACCTCAAAATCAAAGATAGATATGTTCCTCCTGCCTGTAGTACTATCAATCTTCATCATTTTATCATGAGTGGCAAACAGCACCTAGTTCAAATCCCACAATCTAATTTATGATGTGGTAATGCTGCATGTTTGCAAATGGCTTTATAAAATATATTTGTAAAAGAGCTATATAATAAATAGTTCAATATATAACCCTAAATAATGGTTAACCTAATATCCATTGTTTGAGATGCATGATCTCCCAGAGTCATTGCATAATAATGGCCTCTCTAAAATGTCTTGACAGAAACTCCTTTGGAAAGGTGATTGATGTATCTCTCGCTTTTATTTGGATACTGAGAGCTGAAAAAAGGACTGAGACTGTTTCTGAGCTCATTGCACATCTGGGGTGTGTTTCTAGAGCTTGCAGGGTTTTGTAATCTGGTGACCAATGTACATCAAAGATATTGCTTGTTTTGTCGCCACCCTGTGGCAGCATCTACTGCTTACATTGTATTTGTATCCAGTGAGTAACTGTCTCCTTGCTTTATGTTATGGTTTATTTACTTGTTCACATTTATGTATTCAAAACTAGGGAAGCCAATTTATTTTAGAATCATGTATTGTTGTATATTTTCTTCAATTTAACCTTTGTCTTATAAAAAAGAGAATATACTCAGCTTTACCTTATACAGTAGAGACACCGTTACATTAGTGCTCTGATAAACCAAAGTCTGAGGTCCCTCACACCAGCAGACGCTTCCCCTTCTTTAACCATCCCTTCTGCAGCGTGTACATTTGGGTTCATTGCTTTTTGTTCTGCAGGTGTGTGCTTGCTGCTCTCAGAGTGTCCTGCAGGTCTTTGTACTGGGCCAGAGTGCAGGCCTCCTCCAGCCGGGCCCAGCGGTAGTCCTGGTGCTCGTGAGACAGAGTCACAGCTGTTCCTGTGTCTCTCAGCTCGGCCAGCCAGTACAGCACCTCTTTGGGTTTGCCTCGCACTTCGTAGCGCAGCTCCTGCAAAAATCCGTCAACAACCTTCAGCTGCTCCTTTCCAAGCCCCGCCTCCTCCTTGGTCTCCCTCAGGGCTGTGGTAAGGTCGTCCTCGCCCGGATCCACATGACCTGATGGAGAACAGGTTAGATGTCACTTAGACAAAGAACATTTAAAGTTAGCTCATTAGTGTCTATACAAACTACTTGAGGAATCTGTAGGTTTTTTTTAACTTGGAAACACCTTTGGGTGGGGTCCAGTGGTGCTGCCCATAAGAGGTCTGCAAGAGGAGGTACTCGATGTTGTCTGGAGGGACACAACTGGCGAGACGACGAAACACTATGAAGCCACAGGCTCGCAGCGCCATCTCCCTGTTTGAAAAATGCACAAACAAGCACATTTCGCATTATGTTTGATTATGGAATCCCCCTATAGAAAGCAAAAAGCTACTTAGTCAAACCCCTTGTCAGTGGAGCTCACCTGTTAACGTAGATATTAGACTCACCACTCTTCAAGAGAAGACCTTTGCACTGCTGAGGGGGAAACTGTTACATTATAAAATAATATTACACGCAATATTGGTTATTACTTTTTCACAATGTTGTAATGGTAGATGGACAAAAATGTTCAACATGCTGTTTGTTTGGCAAGGAAAAGCAGAGTAGTTTAAAGTGTATTTTACTGGTTAAACCAATGCATATTCTGTGCATATAGACTAGAGCTACATATTTTTTAATTGTTTTAAACTTTTGGTAGTTTATTTAAAATTGTTACCATGGCACTTTGGTTAGGTATGTTTATGAATGCAGGACTTTTACTTGCAACAGAGGGTTTCCAAACAGTGACGTGACTTATTCCACCTGTAGTTTTTTTCAAACCGGCGTTAGCTAGCACGTTGTAACTTGTGCTGATTCTGTGATGGATTTTACAGCGAGACAGACCCAACACTGCTGCAACAGTGGGATTATTTACCAGACCAAAACAATGATCAGATTTGATAACATGCAACAGTATCTCACTTCTCTACTGGCACAGATTCGCTGTCAAACCTTGGCAGGCTTCACTTTCTGTTCTAACTCTACATACATGTTCGCTGTTCTACCGTCAATGAACACAGGCTGCTGGTTTGACGACTATCTCAGTGACTTAACTTAAAATATGTCAGTGTTTTACTTACGGTTCACTGTGAAATATTTGCTAAAACGTTGTCTGTTCCTCACGACAGACAGCACTGCGGAGCTCAGCGGTGCTCTTGGAATAGTGTCCGGTCCTCTCTGAAAACGGAAATAAACAGTTCCGCTTTGTAAAACTGATTTGACAGTAGGCTACTCGTAGCCACTGCCAGTAATGAAAGATAAATGTATATAATAAAATAATCTGAGCTATGTAACTATGTACATAAACTCAAGTACTGTACTTAAGTACACATTTGAGATACTTATACTTTACTTGAGTATTTAAATGTTTTGCTACTTGGTACACAATTCAGAGGTAAATTGTATACTCTTACTTCACTACATTTATTTTGTACCTTTAGTTACTGGTTTGGATTAATGATGTGAAATATAATCAATGATGTGAAATATAATCAATGATGTGAAATATAATCAATGATGTGAAATATAATCAATGATGTGAAATATAATCAACACTTAAGTAATACTTCAGTTACACCTGGAGTAGATACACAAGCTACCCTGCAGCAGAGTCCTGCATCGGGTCGGGTGACCCGCAAAAAAGGTGATTCGCGGGTGGTATTTTTTCAAACGCTTTTTTCCGGGTTCGGGTCTGGGTAAAACGAAGATGATGCGGGTCGGGTCGTGGGTATTGCATAATAAATATATTAAAATAATAATAATTTAGTTTAATGTTTAAATCCTCAGACCTCTCCCCCGCGGGACCGCGCATAATCATAACCTCTGCAGCACATCAATCTGCTGCTGTGCGCGCCACATTCGAGATGGCTGAGCTGAAGCTCAGAGAATACAGCATTTACAATAACACTTCCTCAAGAGCGAAATCCAACGTCTGGAGGCTTTTGATTCCTAGATGGAGAAAATAACCAACATCCCACGCTTTTTGAGACAAATATGCAACTGCGTGTGTTAATAATTGCACGTTTTCACTGCTCATATATATGCGGGTTCGGGTCGGGTTGCGGATCTTGTGCCGACGGGTCGGGTCGGGTTGCGGAACTAATTGGCAATATGTGCGGGTAGCGGGGCGGATTCGGTATTGCACGTCGCGGGTGCGGGGCGGGAGCGGGTCTTGAAAATCAGACCCGTGCAGGACTCTGCCCTGCAGTACACAAAGTGATTAAAGCTGCACCTTTACCAACTTTGATTATACTTGAATGCATCAATAATTATAATCAACACATATCATATATCATTCCGAAATTGACCAATTTTTACTTTTACTTTTGGTACTTTAAGTATATTTTGATGCCAATACTTTTCTACTTTATCTTGAGCAGTGTTGGGACTAACACGGTACACAGTAACGGCGTTATTGTAACGCCGTTATTTTTTGGCGGTAACTAGTACTCTACCGCATTACTTTGTTACTTCAGCAACCCAGTTACCGTTACTACATGGTGCGTTACTCCGTTAGTTTTTATATATAGTCAACAGCCAGGCGAACAGAGATGAGAACTGTACTTAAGTACAGTACTTGAGTAAATGTACTTAGATACTTCCTGTGTCACATGCGGAGACCGGCTGTGGGCGTGTTTGTGTTGTTTACTAACAAGACTATCATGGCGGCGGCGGAGCTCAAGTCTAGTTTCTCCACCTGGAGATATTCTCACTATTTCACTTTTGTCGAGCACAACGTTTTAGTTAAATGTAAGTCGTGTCTTGGCGGGTCAAAGATCCTATCTACTGCCCAAACCAGTAATTCAAATCTCTTAAAACAGCGGCTGGATTTTAACCAAGGGACTGCTAGCCAGGGAAAAGTCGATAAAGCCATTGCACGGTATGTTGTAGAACACATGCAGGCTATTGCTACAGTGGAGTCACCCGCTTTCAGGGAGCTAGTTAGCATGATAGCATGTCCGGGCGGCACAGGGCATATGGGACGGAAAACTTTTTCCAACTACCTGGAGAAAGAATATACAAAAATGGAAAGCCAGATATCGATGCAATCCAGATTGCATATAATGCATGTCAAATTGATCAACAGATTGTATTATTCTCCAATGTAATAACAGTACTGAAATGAAGGCTATAAGGGCATTAATGGGAGACCCTTTTATAAGTAACGAAAACGTTCTTTTCACAGTAAAGTATTGACTTTGACCGTCTAGTCATTGTTGGTGATTTTAACATCCATGTTGACAACCCCCAGGACAGAGGGGCTAAAGAACTGTTTTGTGTTCTTGATAGCTATGGACTGACTCAGCATGTGACGGAGCCCACCCACAATAAGGGGCACACTCTGGACTTAATTATCTCAAAGGGTCTGAATATCTCTAAGGTTGTGGTGACTGATGTTGCACTCTCTGACCATTCCTGTGTTTTCTTTGAGAGCTCTATTTCTGTTCACAAAAATGTTCAAAAAGAGGTAACCACAAAGCGATGTTTAACTGAAAATACTAGGGAAATGTTTACTCAGAATTTCTCTTCCACACTTGCCCCTGCCAACATCTCAGTAAATGAGCTAGTAGATCATTTTAATTAAAAAATGTTATAGATGCCATTGCTCCAACTAAGGTAAAGGAAGTGTCTGGCAAGAAAATATCTCCATGGAGAAAGGCCATGACCGTGAAAACAGAAAAAAGAGAATGTCGAAAAGCTGAACGCAGGTGGCGAAAAACAAATCTCCAGGTTCACTTTGAAATCTATAAAGAGAGACTTGGCCTTTATAATTTGGAATTGAAAAACGCACGACAATCGTTCTTCTCTGACATCATTACCAAAAACAAAAACAACGCACGTGCCTTGTTTGCTACCGTTGACAGACTAACTAACCCCCCAGTGTCAGTAGCCTCTGAATTTCTATCCACCAGGGCGTGCAATGATTTTGCCTCCTTTTTCACTGACAAAATTCAGAAAATCAGACAAGCAGTCAGTGCCTCTGCATCAGGAACAGCAAATGTGTTGTCCCTATCTCCACTTAACATCAATTCAGACATCATGACACAATTCCATCAGATTAATGATAAAAACCTAGAGGACATTATTCAACTTCTGAAATCCTCCTCTTGCTGCCTTGATATTATTCCAACAGGATTTTTCAAAGATGTTTTGCCTTGCATGGCCTCAGATCTACTTCATATAGTAAACAAATCTCTTCACTCAGGTATTTTTCCACAGGCCCTGAAAACTGCAGTCATTAAACCGCTCTTAAAAAATAATAATCTAGATGCTTCAGTAATGAACAATTACAGGCCCATATCAAACCTGCCATTTCTAGGTAAAATCATTGAAAAAGTTGTTTTTCAACAGTTGAGTAATTTCTTGCATTTAAATAACTGTTTTGATGTGTTCCAGTCAGGCTTTCGTCCAAACCACAGCACTGAGACTGCTCTTGTAAAGGTCTTTAATGACATCCACTTAAACACAGACAGTGGCAGAACTTCAGTGTTAGTATTATTAGATCTCAGTGCTGCGTTTGACACTGTTGACCACAGCATATTACTAGACCGACTGGAGAACTGGGTGGGACTTTCGGAAACAGTTCTGAATTGGTTTGAATCCTACTTAAAGGACAGAAACAACTTTGTTTCTATAGGTAAATACACATCTGAGTTGACAAATATGACATGTGGGGTTCCTCAAGGCTCCATCTTGGGGCCTCTTCTCTTTAACATCTACATGCTACCACTGGCTCAGATAATGAAGAACAACAAAATAAGTTACCATAGCTATGCAGATGACACACAAATGTACGTAACAATTTCACCAGGAGACTATGCTCCAATTCAAACACTGAGTAAGTGCATTGAACAAATCAATGACTGGATGTGTCAGAACCTTCTCCAATTAAACAAAGATAAAACTGAGGTAATGGTTTTTGGAGCCAAGGCAGAACGTATAAAAGTTAGCGCTGAGCTTCAGTGTGCAATGTTCAAAACAACAGATAAAGCCAGAAATCTAGGTGTAGTCATGGACTCTGACCTGAGTTTCAACAGTCACATTAAAACTGTTACTAAATCAGCCTACTATCACCTAAAGAATATATCTAGGATTAAAAGACTAATGTCACAGCAGGATTTGGAAAAACTTGTCCATGCTTTTATCTTCAGTAGACTCGACTACTGCAATGGTGTCTTCACAGGTCTCACTAAAAAATCTATTAGAAAGCTGCAGCTGATTCAGAACGCCGCTGCTCGAGTCCTCACTAACACTAAGAAAGTGGATCACATCACTCCAGTTCTGAAGTCTTTACACTGGCTTCCTGTGTGTCAAATAATAGATTTCAAAATACTGCTGCTGGTTTATAAAGCACTGAATGGTTTAGGCCCAAAATACATTTCTGACCTCCTGCTAAATTATGAATCATCCAGATCTCTCAGGTCTTCAGGGACTGGTCAGCTTTCTGTCCCCAGAGTCAGAACTAAACATGGTAAAGCAGCGTTCAGTTATTATGCTCCAAATATCTGGAACAAACTCCCAGAAACCTGCAGGTCCGCTGCAACTCTGACTACTTTTAAATCCAGGCTGAAGACTTTTCTTTTTGTCGCTGCTTTTAATTGAACTATTCATATCTTAGACTGCACTGTAACTTTTATCCATGTACTTTTTTCTTTTAATGTTTAATTGACAGCACTGTAACTTTTATCCATGTATTTTTTCTTTTAATGTTTATTTTATTAGCTTTTCTTTTTAATGACTGATTTTAAATGCCATTTTCTTAATCTCTTTCATTTTTTGTAAAGCACTTTGAATTGCCTTGTGTTGAAAAGTGCTATATAAATAAACTTGCCTTGCCTTGCCTTGCCTAACGCAATATTTTGGGGTAAGTGGACAGTAAAGTAACTGAGTTACTTTTTGAATGAAGTAACTAGTAATGGTAACTAGTTACTGGTTTTCAGTAACTAGCACAACACTGATCTTGAGTAACCTTTACTGAAGGACTTTTACTTTTAACAGAGTATTCATAGACTCTGGTACTTCTACTTTTACTTAAAGGGGACCTATTATGCAAAATGCACTTTGTGATGTCTTTTATACATAAATATGTGTCCCCGTGCGTCGGGGAACTCACGCAGCGTCAGCAAATAAAACCCTCTCTCCAGGTAATTCCAAAGGGTTCACATACTTTTTCTTGCATATGTTTTCCAATATAGCATAATAGGTCCACTTTAAGTAAAAAATAACTTGTAACTACCTGCACACTGCTAAAGGTACATTAGATATAGGCCATATGTAGATATTTTAATAATATTTCCCCCTCTAATATATAGTGCAGTAAAAGTATAAAGTGAAAAATGGAAATCTTTGCTGAAAATATGCTAAAAATGTACTTGTATCAATCAAAAATAGTGAGTAGGTGTATATAGTTTATTTCCACTACTACTACTACTACTACTACTACTACTACTACTACTACTACTACTACTACTACTACTACTACTGCTATTACTACTACTACACATCAAGTGCAGGCAATGATTAAAATAATGAAGAGATTTATCCTGTTACTCAATGACAGATCAAACAAAGCCTTTATGATGAACTCATATATTTCTCCATGATCTAGCTGCTGTGCCTGTGGGAGACAGATAAGAAATGTACCCAGAGTAGATAGGGCCAACTGAAGACTGCTTGTGTGTGAAGATAATAGAGATGGGGCCTCCTTCCCTGCACACCGAGCTGACAGCAGTATGGTTGTTCGGCTTGACGGAGGAGACACTGCTGTTGAGTTTCAAGGTAAAGACAAAAATTCTCCCAAAATAAACATTGTTGTTAAAGTCAAGTGAAAAATATATAGAGACAGGGATAATCAGACAGACACATAGATGGGATGCAAGAACACAATGTAACTTTGATGGATTTGCTCAAATGTATCCTCTAGTCCCTCATGGAACACTTAATGAAAAATGTGTAGTTTTCCTGACATAAACAATTATTTTTGCTTCTCTTCCTCAATATTAGCTGCCTGCGTTGTAGCCAGATGCCTCAGGACATGTGACTTGACTGCGTACTACTGTGCTTACTTAGGCTGCACTGAAATGCTCGTTACTCTACTCCGCTATACAGGATTCACATTTGGGGTCAGCTTCCCCTGCATCCAGATAGAATTGTGGATACTGACTGTCTGAGACTCACTTTAAAGTGACCAATGCTTTTGTAAAATAATGACATTCATATAGGTCATACATTACAGTAGGCTTACTGTAATCACTATGCACTTGATTTGTCTCTGGGAACACCCAACTGGCAAACAAATCCTTCAACTTTGGATGTATACCATTCTGATATGCTAAAGCTTCGCGCTGTCCTTAGTCTTTTACTCTGAAAGGTTCACTTAAAGCTGTGGTTGGCAGTTTATTTTTCACGTTATTCTGCAAATATTTTATGGTGACCTTTGAGCATATTTCATATTATTAGTTCTCATCCTGCAGCTCTCCCCTCTCTGTCTTAGTATGCTTATGTGCTTCATACAGTAACCTGTAGTAATGTGTTGTTTACACACATCAGGATACATTCATCATGAGAGCCTAATGTCATTATATAGCAGCAATTCCATTACAATTACCATCCTGATTTATTTGCAAACGTGTGATTCTGTAAAGACATTTCAAAATGACTGTCTTTGATTAGAGTCTCTAGCTAGCTAAAATACCATCATAGTGTTTCAAAGATAGTGAGAAACATTGCTAAAGCTAAGCCTCCTGCGAACCATAGCCAAAGGTTCATGGCTGCAACTAGTTTACAGCAGCTAATGGCTAAACTATTAGCAAAACATTTTCTCATGAGGCGCGTTCACACCGCAGTACTTATCCCACTTTAGTTCCAATATAGTTCCGAAATGTTGCGTTCACACCATAAGGCGCGTTCACACCCCAGTACTTTTCCCACTTTAGTTCCGATATAGTTCTGAAATGTTGCGTTCACACCAAAAAGAGCCGGAACTAAAATTAGTTAATGAGAACCTTTTCACCCCCTCTTCTTGTTTCGTGGGAGAAAAAGGTTCCTATAGGCGCGATAGGCGCATTCACACCGCAGTACTTTTCCCACAAAGGTTCATCAGAACTTAGTTCATGAGAACTCTTTAGTTCTCATGAACTTAGTACAGATTGCGTTCACACCGGAATAAGTCCCTGGGGGAGGATTAGTCAAATGAAGCCGCTGTCGTCACTTCTTCTTCTTCTGCTTTGGGTTTACTTGCAGGCCGCAAACCACTTCACGGCGTATACTGCCGCCCAAAGTCCCCGGAGTTGGGGACTGGCTTCTACTGAAGCCTTCCGAGTAAATCTCCAGAACGCCGACACCTCCTCATCTCCACCACTCCCATGTTTTATTTTGTGTTGCCATAAGTTAGTCTCTCTGCGTTTCTGCGCTGGGCTAATGCTAATGCGAGGATAATAAAATGGCGGCTTCACAAAACTTTTTGGGGGTTTTACGGGGCGTGGTTTGCATTCCGCCCAGCCAATCAGACATAGGAACCTTTTTCTCCCACGAAAGTCCCTGCTCTCTAGCAGGGACGGAAAAGGGGGTGAAAAGGTTCTCATGAACTAATTTTAGTTCCGGCTCTTTTTGGTGTGAACGCAACATTTCAGAACTATATCGGAACTAAAGTGGGAAAAGTACTGCGGTGTGAACGCGCCTATTGTCTGATTGGCTGGGCGGACTATGAAGTAAATCGCTTCAGTAGAAGCAAGCTGCTCAGCTTCTACTGAAGCCAGTCCCCAACTCCGGGGACTTTGGGCGGCAGTGGTTTGCGGCCTGCCAGTAAACCCAAAGCAGAAGAAGAAGAAGAAGTGACGTCAGTGGCTTCATTTGCCTAATCCTCCCCCAGGGATTTATTCCGGTGTGAACGCGATCTGTACTTAGTTTATGAGAACTAAAGAGTTCTCATGAACTAAGTTCTGATGAACCTTTGTGGGAAAAGTACTGTGGTGTAAATGCGCCTCATGTCTCTAAAAGTTTAGCCTCACTGCTGCAGCCCAGCCATGACTGCTACGGTTATTAGTTGTTCAATTTGCCTTCTACCAACCATATAATTGAGTTGCTGTAAGTTAGCCGCTGCTAAGGGAGCAGCAAACTGTTTGCATGATTTTCTTTCTCAGAAATGCTGTGAATATATTGGGGTCTTCTTTTTTTGGGTTGCTTTGCATTTTTGTTATTGTTAAAAAAAGAGGCTTGAATATAAACTCTTCCTGCAGGCTATCCCAGTGTTAAATCAGGCTTACACAATCTTAAGGCACGTGGAGCTTTATTTCCAATAGTAACACTGAAAGGTAATCATTGAATTTTTGCCCTAATGACTTGCCAAAAAGAAACTGACCTCCCCAAGCTTCAATGGTTCGACTATTCATACAGTAATGAGGCATATATAAGCAAATTAGTGTTGCAGGTCTGAGCAGATCTGATGTGCCAATAGATGTCTTTACTCTGATTCTTCAAGCTGAATGTTTGGGAGGTGTACTTAATTTAAGATGACAACTCTGATGTGAGGTGCCAAAACACAATAATCCCAGTGGCAAATCTAAAAGCCTAATATTTATATTAATTATTATTATATGTAAGTACTGACCCGGAAATACACAACATGCTGCACCATTGGCCTTCTTTGGGGTATAGTACTGCTATTATTGTGATATGGTTAAAGGTCTCGCCCTGATGAACCTGGGGGCTGTGTTGTCTGGAACCTTGTGTTCCTGGTAGGGTCTCCCATGGCAAATTGGTCTCAGGCAAGGGGCCAGACTAAGATTGGTTCAAAAGTCCCTGGTTAGGTGCTTCGTTGTTGGAGTTTACCCCAGTGGACGAGAGGGTCGCCTCCCTACGCCTGCGGGTTATGGGGGGGAAAACTCTGACTGTTGTGTGTGCTTATGCACCCAACAGCAGTTCAGAGTATACAGCCTTCTTGGAGACCCTGGAAAGAGTCCTGTATGGGGCTCCTGAAGGGGACTCTTTAATCTTGCTGGGAGACTTCAACGCACATGTGGGCAATGATGGAGACACTTGGAGGGGCGTGATTGGGAGGAACGGCCCCCCTGATCTGAACCGGAGTGGTGGTTTGTTACTAGACTTCTGTGCTAGTCATGGATTGGCCATAACAAACACCATGTTCGAACATAAGGATGCTCATAAGTGTACGTGGTACCAGAGCACCCTAGGCAGAAGGTCCATGATCGATTTCGTTATCATATCATCGGACCTGAGGCCGTATGTTTTGGACACTCGGGTAAAGAGAGGGGCGGAGTTGTCAACTGATCACCATCTGGTGGTGAGTTGGGTCGAGTGGCGGGGGAAGCCTCTGGATAGACCTGGTAAGCCCAATCGTGTAGTTCGGGTGAACTGGGAACGTCTGGAGGAGGCCCAAGTTCAGGAGGCCTTCAACTCACACCTCCGGCGGAGCTTTTCGGGCATTCCTGTGGAGATTGGGGACATTGAACCAGAGTGGTCGGTGTTCAAAGCCTCTATTGCCGAAGCTGCGGCGGGGAGCTGTGGTCTCAAGGTCCTAGGTGCCTCAAGGGGCGGTAACCCTCGAACCTCCTGGTACCACCGGTGGTCAGGGAAGCCGTCCGACTGAAGAAGGAGGCCTTCAGGGATTTGTTATCCCGGGGGACTCCCGAGGCAGTTGCAAGGTACCGACAGGCCCGAAGGGCAGCAGCCTCATCCGTGGCCGAGGCAAAGCAGCGGGTGTGGGAGAAGTTCGGAGAAGACATGGAGAAGGACTTTCGGGCGGCACCAAAGTTGTTCTGGAAAACTGTCCGACACCTCAGGAGGGGGAAGCAGGGAACCATCCAAGCTGTGTACAGTAAGGATGGGACGTTGTTGACCTCAACTGATGGAGTGTTAGGGCGTTGGAAAGAACACTTTGAGGAACTCCTGAACCCGACAACTCCGCCCTCTATGTTAGAGGCAGAGCTGGAGTATGACGGGGGATCAACACCAATCTCCCGGGGGGAGGTCACTGAGGTCGTCAAACAACTCCACAGTGGCAAATTCCCGGGGGTGGATGAGATCCGCCCGGAAATGCTGAAGGCTCTGGGTGTTGAGGGACTGTCATGGTTGACACGTCTCATCAACGTTGCGTGGAAGTCGGAAACGGTACCGAAGGAGTGGCAGACCGGGGTGGTGGTTCCCCTTTTTAAAAAGGGGGATCAGAGGGTGTGTGCCAATTACAGAGGCATCACACTACTCAGCCTCCCCGGGAAAGTTTATTCTAAGGTACTCGAAAGGAGGGTCAGGCCGATTGTCGAACCTCAGATTGAGGAGGAACAATGCGGATTCCGTCCTGGTCGTGGAACGACGGATCAGCTTTTTACTCTCGCAAGGATCCTGGAGGGGGCCTGGGAGTACGCTTATCCGGTCGACATGTGTTTTGTAGACTTGGAGAAGGCGTATGACCGAGTTCCCAGGGAGTTACTGTGGGAGGTGCTGCGGGAGTATGGGGTGAGGGGGTCTCTACTCAGGGCCATCCAATCTCTGTACTCCCAAAGCGAGAGCTGTGTCCGGGTCCTCGGCAGTAAGTCGGACCCATTTCCGGTGAGGGTTGGCCTCCGCCAGGGCTGCGCTTTGTCACCAATCCTGTTTGTAATATACATGGATCGGATTTCGAGGCGTAGTCATGAGGGAGGGGGTCTGCAGTTCGGTGGACTAAGGATTGCACCACTGCTTTTTGCAGATGATGTGGTTCTAATGGCTTCATCGGTCTGCGACCTTCAGCACTCACTGGATCGGTTCGCAACCGAGTGTGAAGCGGCTGGGATGAGGATCAGCACCTCCAAATCTGAGGCCATGGTTCTCAGCAGGAAACCGATGGACTGTCCACTCCAAGTAGGGAATGAGTCCTTACCCCAAGTGAAGGAGTTCAAGTATCTCGGGGTCTTGTTCTCGAGTGAGGGAACAATGGAGCGTGAGATGGGCCGGAGAATCGGAGCAGTGGGAGCGGTACTGCAGTCGCTTTACCGCACCGTTGTGACGAAAAGGGAGCTGAGCCAGAAGGCAAAGCTCTCTGTCTACCGGGCCATTTTCGTTGCTACCCTCACCTATGGTCATGAAGGATGGGTCATGACCGAAAGAACGAGATCGCGGATACAAGCGGCCGAGATGGGTTTTCTCCGCAGGGTGGCTGGTGTCTCCCTTAGGGATAAGGTGAGAAGTTCGGTCATCAGGGAGGAACTCGGAGTTGAGCCGCTCCTCCTTCGCGTCGAAAGGAGCCAGTTGAGGTGGTTCGGGCACCTAGTTAGGATGCCACCTGGGCGCCTCCCTAGGGAGGTGTTCCAGGCACGTCCAGCTGGGAAGAGACCAAGGGGTAGACCTAGGACCAGGTGGAGGGATTATATCTCTTCGCTGGCCTGGGAGCGCCTTGGGATCCCCCAGTCAGAGCTGGTTGATGTCGCCAGGGAAAAGAAAGTTTGGGGCTCTCTGCTGGAACTGCTACCCCCGCGACCCGACCACGGATAAGCGGGAGAAGATGGATGGATGGATGGTTAAAGGTCTCCTATTATAGCCTACTCTTTTTCATCAATATATTATAGGTCTGAGATATATACAAAACATGCATGTCTCTGAAGTGTTTGGCTTGAAATACCAAACAGATCACCCATTGTAGCATCCCATAAACCCCTCTGTTTCAGCCCTGTTCCAAAAGTGCTGATTCTCTGTCTGTTACTTTAGATGAAAATAAGGAGCCCCTCCCCACGCCCCTTTGAGAGATATTTGGATAAAAGAACACAATGGTGCTCTAGGAGGACATTCAGGTGATAGGGGGGGGGGGTTACCTTGGTTGGTGATTGGCTAATGGTTACACAAGCCAAAAAATCGTTATGACATCGTAAAGTGGCCAAAATCTGATCAGCTCATTTCCAGACAGGTTTTTATATAAATGGATCAGGACAAAAAGAGAGGGAATCTTTTTTCCTGACACTTTCAGAATCCCTTTACACGAGGGGACACATGCTTATGTATAACATACATGAAAAATTAGATTTTGCATGATAGGTGACCTTTAAGATAAAAACATGCTTATTTATTATAAATACAAAGTTGTGATATTTTCTTTTGCATTCTTACCAAGCAGCCTTTCACAGAGCCATGGAGCCCACAGGAGGGCCTTATCTTGTGGGGAAGAAGGATGAACTGATTGAAGCAAAGCGCTCTTTCAGAACACTAGAGGGGCGGGACATATTGATCATCTACCACCAGAACGACTTCTATGCTATCGACTCTTACTGCTATCGTGAGTTCAGTTTTTCTTGTGCATAACTCAAAACAATTAATTCTTATAGAGGGAGATGGTGATATATAATTGGCTGTTAAACTTCATCCAACCAACAGTCAGTCTAAATCTAAGGTGTTTACCCATGCTGGCTTCCACTGAACAGACAGTCCTGGACGTTTAACTCTGAGCGAAATTGCTTTTTTAGCCAAAGAACAATTAGGCACATTTCACCTTTTAAAATGTGTCCACTCAGCAAAATGTTGTGTGTGCTCTGTTTGCTTATTCTGCAATACACTGATCCTGTTCCCTTCTCAACAGACGCTGGGGCAACACTGCAAAATGGAGACATTGAGGTGAAGTTTATATTTATTGAAGAGATTAGAGGTTGTTTTTGTGTCTGACCCAGGGTTAAGGAGCCAAAAATGCCAAGTTTGACAGTGCTTTTGTGTTTTCACCACAGTCATGCTTTTACCAGCTATTCCATCTGCATTATAGTCCTTGCAAGCGACTGCTGGGCTAATACATATTATTACCTTAATTAAGACATCAAACCTGAATAAAATTAATGTTATGCTAATGTTGAATGACTTAAATGACCTACATTTATCCAACATAAGGTTGTTTACCTGTTTTCTGTCAACACTCTTACAGGAATTTGACGGCAAGATGTGCATAGTTTGTCCGAACCACAAGTACAAGATCTGTCTGGCCCAAGGGGAGGGCATTTACAAGACCAGAGACCCCAAGGAAAAGCCGTCTGTGCTCAGATGGTTCTCCAAGGGTGTGAAGCAGCGGACTCACACGGTCACTGAGAACAATGGGGATGTCTATGTCAAGCTTTCTGAGCAAAGAGGCTTCATCGAGTCAGACTTCTACCAGGGAGAGAAGGGCAAGGTGGAAAGGGAAAAAGCTGCGGCTGCTGAGAAGAAGAAAACTAAATAGTGTAAAAGACGGAAGTCAATGATTCCTCTAAATTATTGTATGATGAATCTACTTGGTGTCAGATATTTAATGACGGATACAGTAGTTTTACTTGGGTCTTGTTTATCTTGATCATAGTGTTTACATTTGTATTTGTGGCTTACATTATATTTAAATGTTGTACTTAAAAATAACGTCCCATCTTTTAAGGTGGAGAGTGTCAACTTATTTCACAGAATAAACTTTTTTTCACGAGTGATTTTGATTCTATAGTGGCATGGAGCAGCTAAATGCGTAACCACACTGGTGTATCCCTCTGCATTACAATATCTCTCATGTATTATGCATACAGCGAATGAATCAATAAGATAAAAAGGTTTAGTCTGGTCGATAATGTCCTAAAGTGGAAAATCCTTAATGTAAAATATAAAGATCATATGATGGCCATTTCTGGTAATAACTGTCTGTTCATTCCCTGAGATTACATCAGAAAGCACCAGTCTCAGGTCGCAGGCTGCATGGGTTTCGTTTGTGACATCTTTCCCGTACATTGGCAAATAATTCCTTGAGCAAACGCAACAAATAAAATAAATAACTTTGCTGAGGACGCCGTACCAATCCCTGAGGTTGTTGAATGTTTGTTGACAGCAGCTTCAGTCAGGTATACAGTGGCTGGCTCATGGGCTCCGTGCTGCAAACAGAAACTCAGTTTTGTTTTGAACATTCAACATCCTCCTCTAACTCTTGCCGAGACAACCAGTGAGTGTATTTCCCAAAACGTCAAACTTTTCCTTTCATGGTCATGATGTCAGAATCATCTCAAAATCTGATTGTTTTCTGATGCAGTAATGTTGTACTTAAAGAATAACTAAAGGGATTCAAAACCTTTTCAGGAAATGTGCAACCAAGAAACAGATTTTTTTTAATACTGTCAAAATTGGTGCTACTATATTTTGACATGATGGTACAATACGGGATTTTGATACCAATAATTTACATTTATATTATTATAGTATTATAAATATTATTAATCATAATTTGTTGCAAGTAATTTTGTGATAGTTTGTTGAGCATTTGAAGTAAAGAGTCAAGCCAGTCACATCCATATTATTTATTTGTTTTTAAAAGCCATGGTGCAGTGTAACCCTGACATGACCCAAGAAGAACTGCAAAGCCATGGGTCAAGAACCGTGAGGCTAAGGGGTTTATGATGTTCTTCTGTGCATGAATGATGCTGCTGGTCTCTAGCTGGCCTACAGCAAACTCCTCTGTCTATGTGACGCATCGAATACAATCACGAAATGCACAGGGCACTGGGTTACATGGAACAAGGGGGTGAGCACTTCTGCAAAGTTGAATTGAGAATCTGGAGGTATTATTATGCGCAGATGGTCATTTGCAATAGGTCAAGTGGAGGACTCTTTGTCAAGATAAAGAGCAGACTGTCAGGGGAAACCTGGGGGAAACTGCTTAGCAGGACTAGAGGATATTATTCCAGAGGGAGAGTAAGGCACACCATGTAGCACTAAATAAGTCTTTTAAACCAAAGGCCTACATACTCTCTGTAGGTGTTATGTCTTGCATTATTCATTGTGATTATCAACAAGAGAGGCTCTGATAAAACCTTTAAGGCTTGAGCTATTTTTCCTCTCAAAAAGCTCGGAAAACCCTGGAGTTTTTCCAAGAGGGAATACCAAAAAACAAAACACCCCTAAAGCCTGTTAAAGTTTATATTCTTGCTATATCAGCAAATTCTCTCTAGATATTATGGTTGTCAGTATTATCACTATGATTGACATTCAACCCCATGCTCATACATCTTAGCAAGTCTTTTCATGTGGATAGGTTCAGTGTATATGGCACAAATTGAAGTTATGGAATAAGTACTCAGATCTTGTAGAATTACCACTGAGTAGGAATACTCTCTTACAGTAACGCTGCAAAAGAAAATGTTTCTCAAGTAAAAGTAGAAAAGTATTGATATAAAAAAAGTACTCATTCTGCAAATCGGTCAATTTCTGAATAATATTATATGATATGTTTTGATTGTAATTATTGATGTATTCATGTGTTTATCAAAGCTGGTAAAGGTGCAGCTCGTTTTAATTGCTTTATACTGCAGGGTAGCTTGTTCATTTCATTTCATTTCAAACCTTTATTTAACGAGATTGGTCCCATTGAGATCATAGATCTCTTTTTCAAGGGAGACCTGCAGCATATAGGTTGTGAATGTTACTCCAGGTGTAGCTCAAGTCTTATTTAAGTGTTGATAATATTTCCCATTATTATTCCAAATGTACAGTAACTAAAGGTACTCCATAAAAGTTATTGAGTAAAAGAACAATATTTACCCCTGATAGTAGCAAACAATTGAAAGTAAAGTACAGTTACCTCAAAATTGTACGTGAGTACATCTACTAGTTACTTTAAACCACTGTTGGACTCATGATTTTGTATTGCATTCACCCGAGGAAGCTCATGTTGTACTATCATTTGGAGGAGAAATAACCAGAAATTCCGGAATGTCTACTGCACGAGGTTGTTTGTGTGTGTTGCCGCGCGCTGCTTCTACATCTGTGTCCGCGTGCGTGTTGCTGAGTCAGGCGAGACCGCTCTCTCTCTCTCTTTCTCTATCCTTACCCTCTCTCTCCAGTTGCTCTTTTGCCAGTGAGACTTTGTTTTATCCGCCGACGTCATTCATATGGTCTGGACGCCGAGGCGCGAGGCTGCCCTCTCCTCGTCGCTAATTGTATTTCCCACCGTCTGACAACTTGTTTTTGTGTTAGCGCATTGACTGCCCATGGGCGCTGCTGTCCACACACACCGTGCTGCTGCTGCTGCTGCTGCTGCTCCGCCGGCTGTCCGGTGCGCCTCTGCGGTCGGTTCGGGATGGTATTGGGCTCTTCCTTTTATGAATGAATAACAAAACTGGGGGGAAATGCGAGTGACAGCAAAACTCCCCAGCAGCCGTGCTCCCAGGGGGCCAGCCATCAATGAGAGGGATTAAGGACGGAGCTGAGCCGCGGCTCATTGCGGAAAAGCCGACTGCAGACTGGAAACGCACTGTGAGGGAAACGGGCTCCATAGCGTGAACAGAAAACCGCGGTGACCACAATGTAAGTTGCTCTGGAGCGGCAACTCATTAAGGCATGGGAGGAGAGGGGGGCTTCCTGGTAGGGTTGCATGCTTTATTCTTGTCAGTATCACTGCTTGATATTATCCATCACCGAAAATATGTGTCAAAGTGTGTGATTTATTGAACCATAAATCCCTCTCTCAGGTGGGCCTTGGCAACTAGCTTCTTCTCAGTCATTGTTAGTGACATAACGGTGATGCACTGGCTCCGTGATAGACATGAATAATAAGGACCTAAGCAAACAGAGGTGCCTGCTCTGCCTCAGTGCTATACATCTGGTTCACCATCATGGTGATGTGCAGCTTGATTCAAGTCACTTACAACAAACCACATGGCTTACAGGTCCATCCACATCGTGGCTCTGGGCAGCGAGTGCCCCGGAGGAGTGGGGCCTGGGGAGGAGATCATGGGCCAGGGGCAGCTGCAGGGAGGCCTGCTGTGGAGCTACCTGGGCCATGGAGCTCTGGTGGGACCATGCGACCTGGAGAGCAGCATGCACAACCCGGCCTTCATGGAGTACAGCTCCCTTGTGTTTGGAGATGTCACTGTGGTGGTCCGGGATTGCCCCAGCTGGGTAAGATGCTTATAGAAGAGAAAAAGAGACCACTTGCATGGATTGATACAGTGTGAATCATTGCCCTGCTCATTCATGTGTCTTTTTCTTGATTTGCAAATGCTATCAGATCTACTTTGTGTTTCTTTCACACCGTTCTGCTTGTGTGGTACTAAACAAGTCACGATTTGCACAGGACAGTTAGAGAATGAAAAACACGCCATACAAAAGGTCTAATTTTGTCACATCATTGTCATTGTGAAAGAGTGTCACCCTGATGACATGCTATTTACTTTCTCACTCTGCTTCTATTTCTCACAAGCTGTACAACATTTCAAATTCCAAGGCCACTTGCTAGTTCCAGCTCTGATTGCAGGCTTTATAGAAATCACTCTATTCTTAGCAGGGTGCTATTTTAACATGCACTGCACACACACAAACATTAAATACATTTGTGTTCTTAATGGAATATAAATCTGACTGTTGTTTTTAAAGCAGCAGTGCACACTTCCTATTATAAGGCTGTCAGTCTCAATTCTATGGCTCTTTGTCCTTGTTCTTTATTCAAAGCGCTAAAAGCTTTTTTTAAGGTTTGTTCTGCTCAGGCTGGTTTACAGTTAGCAGCTATAGCCTTGCATGTTCTTGGGGGTAAAGTCCCAAGTGTTACACTGAGGTATTTATTCGTAGGGAGACTCAGAGGGGAAGGATTAGAGTTGCCCAGGGTAAGCATGATGGTAAAGGTTGGGTATTCTGACCATTTTCTATATTGCCTTGTTCATAACTGTTCTCCTCTTGCCTTTGCAGGACTTGTTGGACAGTGATTGGGCCAGTGTACGGAAAGTTCTTGAGCAGGCAGACATCCTGGTCATTAAATATTCAGTCACCGATAAGCTGGCCTTCCAGCAGGTCCGAAACGGCTACGCCCCGAGACTCCGCCCTCTCCTGAGACACTGGGGTGTGCCGGTCATCCTGGTTGCTGTTGGAGCACGGCTAAACGGTGAGTATTCTCTTATTTCTGAGTAAATTGAGATTAGCCTACAATACTCTGAGAACTAATGACTCCTCAAACAGGCATTGTTGTACAGGAACAAAACGACTTATCTCTCAGCCATTGCATTTGATAAACTGGTGTTTGCGGGGTGATAAGCCGCTGCCTGAGTTATTGAGTTTGATTGCAGGACAATACCATGTTCTTCTTGCCTGGTCAGTGGGATCACTGCCGGAGCCTTGCGTCCTCTAGTGTGTCCTTCCAGCAATGTGGAGGATATGCTCACAATTACATCTCCTCTTGGCTGCCTCTGGGCGGTCAGCTCACATGCTTTCCTGCAGGAAACACGCCAAAGAAAGACACTAAGTTGATCGTTTATGACCATAAAAAGCCCTGCAAGCAGACAAGAACTTGTACAGCTGTCGTTTCATTGAAAAGTGCAACACAACAGTAGCTTGTCCCTAAAGAGGACTTTACCAGCGGCAGCTTAATGCATCACAAATTACAAACATGTATGCTGGTACCTCAGTGTGTCTGCATGTGATTGTACACACACACACACACACACACACACACGCACACACACACACACACACACACACACACACACACACACACACACACACACACACACACACACACACACACACACACACACACACACACACACACACACACACACACACACACACACACACAGATTCTGTACAGACGCTCATCAAATGCACCAGGTAGTATTTTTAGCTTATCTGCACAGCATACTTTCAGATCCTGTCAGAGCTCCGCTGCAGAATGATCACAGTGGAAGTCAAGTCTTTGCCAGAGAGATAGAGAGGAAGAGAGGGACTCTGGAGCTGTGGACCAGAGCCTTTGTTTGTGTTTTTTGTTTGTGGCTGACTACTGTGAGTATTTTCATGCTATCCCCCCATGATCGCAGAGAATGACGGCTGAGCTCCGAGCGCTTCCCGCTGCTCGACTTAAGACCACCTAAGGCACAGCTGTGGCAGAGAGCGCTTCTGTACGTGCATTAACACAGCCAATAAACCGGTGCTGAACGCAGGAGCGCAGACAGATTTATCCAAGGGCACACACACACACACACACACACACACACACACACACACACACACACACACACACACACACACACACACACACACACACACACACACACACACACACACACACACACACACACACACACACACACAAACATACCACTAGTATGCCAAGTCACCGCCTGTCAGCCGCTCACACACACTGTGCTTTCCATCCCTCTCTCACACAGTCCGTCTCTATGTCATGCCTGTGGATTATTAGCTGTATGATTGATCAAATGCCTCAGCACTTGTCCTCAGCTGTATGTCCCGCTCATTCTCCTTTGAATCTCTCTCTCTCTCCTCCTTTGTGCTGTCTTTTTTTTGTTGCCTCAAGCTAATCCCTTCAAATGTTGTGTGATTTGGTGTCTTTGGTCCCCATGCTCACAGTGTGGATGGTCCTGCTGCACACGCTCTGCAGAATTCATTTAGTTAGATGATCTATTTGATCTATTGTTGCAAGAGAGTTCTTTGGTTTTTCGTTGGAATTAGTAATCATGTGGAAATGGAAGTGCAAAATGCATCAGTATTTAATCAAAGAAAAACCTAATGATATTTCAGGAACAAACAACAGAGCAGAAAACAACAATCTTTCAGAAAATAAATACACCTATCTCCTTTTGAGATCCTTATTAGTTCACATCATCAAAGCACAGGCTGTGGCGTCTGTTCTGCTTTGAGAAATTCGTTTTCTTTTTGAATTAAGTAAGTGACAAGTTGTGTTCTGTCACACATAGGATCTATTTGTTTCTCCTGTTTAGAAGGACCTTTTAAGCACTGAAACTATATTATATTTACACAATAGTTTTACAATAGTTTGTTTACACAATACTTTACTGAATTGTTGTGATGGTGTTGACACATTCAGCTGATTTCTTTAGTTGTCAGTACATAGTCCATTTGGAGAGGGTCAAACTCTGGTTGTTACGCAGCTTTGCTCTGATTGGTCCATTCTGGGAGTGGATTCATTCTTAATCATGCAGATCACAACAACCGTTGTGAAAGCTGGGACTACTCACAGTTAGGGACGCACTCTATTGGATTTTTGTCAATAAGCCAATATTTTCTAACAAACTTGGGCCGATTTCGATTGCCGAAACCAATAATGCACATGTTTGCTACATGGAGGTACCTGTCATGGAATCATGTTGGAAACATTTTCCATTTCTGGCTGATATTTAATTTTCAAAACCTTTATTCTCCAGTAATGTCCTACAACCCTATACAGTATAGGTCTTATACTTCACGGTGTTGTCAACTAGACATGGTCTGAATGAACATTCAAACATTCTCTGATAAAAAGGTATCGAGAGATATTAGCTCAGTGTGCAATTCTTTGTCTGATTTCTGTCTTTGAAACATATTTTCATCTATGTCTTGTTTGGACAGCAACATTAAGGTTTACAATGCTGCCATCTGAAGCACATCTGGTCATTAGTTTAGTTAGATACCATGCATGGGCTGTATTTCACGGCCTAGTGGAGCTCATTTTGTGACAAGCATTTCCAGCCCTGGCTGTTCAAGTCATGCAAGGTTCATCGTAGAATAAACTCTGCTCTTTGAATCTAGATGAAGGCCCTCCGTGCACCTGTCCGCTGTGTGCGTCCGACTGGAGCAGCTGTGTGCCTCACAGTGAGGGTCTGCAGCTGTCCCGGGACCTGGGGGCCACCTACCTCGAGCTGCCCTCTCTCAACCACGTCTTTGTGGGACGCTACTTCGGCAGCGTGGTGAGTGGTCACATAAGGACATGACTTTTTCACCCGACATCTCCTTACAATAACCCTTCAGAAATGTGTTAAAACCTTCCAACTCTCCCTGTCTGTTACACTCGATAAACTCTGCATTTCTTCGCAAACTGAGTAGAGGAGAAAAGGACAGGTGGCTATGTTGGTTTCTTCAAGAAGAAAGCAAAGAGTTGATGACGTAACATCACTATTTTGGTACCTTGTAATTGTACTAACGCTTGCATTTCTGCATTGTCCAGCTGGAGTACTTCATGATTCAGTGTCTGAAACACAAAGCCAAAGAGAGGCCGGATAAGAGAAGAGGAAATAAAGTGAACGATCTTCGCCCTCCTCACTTAGAGCAACCAGGTCAGAGGAATGCTATGCTATCTCAAAACTAATACTGCTTTTAACTGGCATTTCATTGTGATACCCCTATGAGGAAATACGATCAATGGCAATTTTTTCTTTTCTAGTATTTGTATTTAAAATGATTGAGTACTTTTTGTTTTCTGTCTTTTTTGAGCATTTAGTCGGACTGACTGGATTGTTACTCCTACAGCTTACAAAGCCATAAAAACAGCTGAGCACCATAGATATTGATCCAGATCAATATCCTCTGTACCACACTGAAAAACAAGGGAAGACACAAAGAGCTAGGTAGACTCCTTTTCATTCAACGACGTTTGAATCAATTTAAGACTGAGCTGTTTTCAGCAACAGTGGGTTTTTCTGAGGCATCGCAGTGATAGTAGTCGGGGTTGATTACCTATTAACGCACCTTTAACCATGCTTTTTTTAACTGATTATGGTTTTAAGATGACTTATTAGCCGTGTCTTTAAAGGTGCCGTGTCCATTCAGTAACATCCTTAATGTAGGGGGATGTGTCTTTAACTTTAATCCATCCTATTAAGGTTAAATATTTATGTCAGCTATGCAAGATTTATGCAAAATGACATTTGATTTTTTTAAATTTCTGTCTGAAAACAGAGCAAATCTCTGAGATGAATAATGGTAAAGATGCTTATATCATGTTTGGGGTATTCAGCAGATAGACAAGAACATTTCACACATTTTTCTCTTTGAGAAGCTGCAACTAGAGAATGTCTGAGAATGACACGCTTAGTTGATAATCCAAAACTTTCCCTAAACTAAATGGTTCAAACCCTAATTAAGTTGTAATCTTCTTATTTGAAAGTCAGAATTTCAGATTGCATTTATAGTTATATTCAGAACAAGCCAAATTGTGTCAAAATATTTCATTTTGCAGTCAGTTTGCAGCTGCAGACTGAATCATACTGCTCAGATAACACAAAACTCTTATCAATACAAGAGATAAAGGACCACAGTGGACAATGATCAAGAGACATTCATACACAGCGAGCAGCAGAGATGCACCAAGGTTGGTTATTGTAGAAAATATTAAAATAAACAAACCAAGCTGGAGAGCTTGACGGATGCATGTCTGTTGCTTTTCCTGTGTTTTAATGCTCTATTTTTTAAGACTTTAGACTTGTTTTTTATCCCAATTGCCTAAAATTGGTGTGATTAAGTCTGCAAACAATTGAAATTCCTGGCTCACAAATGTTAGAACAATTGAAACCTTTCTGAGTGTAATAATTGATTAAAAGAAAAAAAACAGATCTAGTTGTACAATCAATTAAAAAAATGGGAGTCCAGTAGTTTATATTGGGCTAAATTCATAACTACACTCCTGTCTCCTTCCATTACAACTAGACTACTACTGCCATTCCTGTTCGTTTCCTCATACAGTTAGTTTTTACAAAAGAAACCACCTTATTTAACACAAACTACGCTGTTAAATAACGATCTGGCCAGCTATATCCGATGCATGACTGACATCTTTGAGTCCCACCAGAAAGGCTGCAAGTGCTGGCAGATTTATCCGTGCCTGTCCAACACTACTTAACTCTGTTTATGCTGGGGCCTGCATTAAATATGACGTGCACTGACTCAGGAACAGCACAATTTTCACGGCCAAATCTGAGCAGCCATAAAAAAGGAGATGAGTTCTACAGAGAAGGGAGCAGTGTGTGTTGAGCAAGGATAGGAATGTAATAGGACAATGATTTGTGAAGCCCCCTCCCCTCGCTGCTCATTCCTTTTCACTTTTGATTAAACGGAATAAATGAATAGACGTGCATTATATGTTTTGTCTCCTTATTTTTATTATAACACTTTTTATTGCAGTGTTTTACTGCTACATAGTTCACTGCAAATCATTTATCTGTTGCCTAGCTTTTTCCCATTTGACCTTTAAACATAAACCTTATTTAAGCTTTTCGATGTGATTTGCTTCAATTTAAAAAGTGTTATCATCAAAATAATAGTGATTGTGAACTCTGTGTTACTTATTCTTCACCAAGTTTAAAACAAGGAGGAACAAATACAGTCTGTCATCAGTGCAAAGACAAACATATCTGAAAGCGTTTTTGTTTTTCCAACTTGAACAGAAGGGCATGGTACAACCTCACATTGGTCTCTCCTTTAGTTCTTTCTTTACTAAAATATCTCACTGCACTTTGTCTGTCACTATCACTGCATCACAACTCTGTCACTATTCACCCAAATTCATCATCTAAAAAGGTGATAACACTAGGAGACGAAGACAAGGTAGATTGAGGAGAAACAAGTACACCAAAAAGTGCAAAATACCACACTTTTGAAGTGCTTTGAACATAGCATATCTGGTGGTTTTGCCAACATGAAAAAGCAGGTGAGCTGAATTTCAGCTGTGACTGTTCATTTCCACAATAATCCTATCCATCTTCCCCTCCTTACTTCCTCCTCCTCCCTCCCTTCAGCACGTCTCCCCCCCATCCGAGTGGAGGAGTCCAGCTTCTCCCAGGACATGCAGTGGTTGTTGGAGCGCGGTGTGCAGTTCGCCGATGTGGCTTTCTACGCCGGGGACTCTGGGAAAGAGCTGGGATGGGCGCACGCTGCGGTTCTGTGTGCCGTCAGTCCGTACTTCAGACAGCTGCTCCTGGGGCCCAAGACCAGGTAGGAGCCACATTGGCTTGTTCACACGATTGAGCGTTACAAACTATTCCACCAACCACCTGAATGTTGCCCCCTGATTGGACAGGGAACGCCCCCAGTCGCGGTGTGTTTGCAGAGAGCGCGATGGAGGCCCCAACTCGCTGCTCTCCAACTGGGATGGGGCGATTATTGACGACATGCCACGATCAGAGGCGCACTCGACAGGACGCCTCTCTCGTCTGGTGGTGAAGGACCCCCTCCTGTGTATGTGCTTGTGGGAGACCCTCATGTTCATTTATAGAGGTAAATAACAGACACACACAGCACACTAGATGCAACTGAGCAAAAAAACAAACAAATATTTTGTTTCTTTTCCAGAAAATGCTCATTTCCATTTAAAGAGGTCATATTATAGTTATTTTATGGTTCATTTTGCTATTTTGTGCCTCTACATTGACATGTCTCCATGCTTTAATGTTCAAAAAGGTCTTTATTTTTCTCATACTGCCTGTGCTGCAGCACCTCTTTTCACCCTCTGTCTGAAACCAGAGCCCAGTCTGATCTGATTGGTTAGCTGGCTCTGTTGTGATTGGTCAACGGTTTAAAGACGAGTTGGAGCGCCAACCAATAGAAGCGCATAGCGATGTCCCTATTTTGCAGAATAAACAAAGGAGTCCAATGGAAGTGTTTCAGGGAGGGGGGTGTGTGGGAGAGTCAACTTCTCAATTTTAGCCTCTGCAGACCCTTTACATGCACAAAAACCTATATAACACACTATAGGAAAGGTAAAAGCACAATAGGGCCCCTTTAACTCTGTTTTTGCTTTAGATACATTTGCCCTATGTAGATTCCTCTCACTACGAAAAGTTAATTAAAAGCTGAATGTACTGATTATTTTCTTTATTGATAAATCATTTTGTCACAAAATGCCCCAAATTATAATTTTCCAAAGCCAAAGATGACAAATGTAAGTGTCTTGTATCAGACAAAGAGAGCCTGAGTGATCATCCATGTCAAATGTTATGGCAATCCATCCAGTGCGGTCTGCCCTCAGCAGGGCTTAGAGAGGTAGAACAATTCACATCTAGAGCATTCGGGTCCTTTCTCGACTTAATGCAAACCCCCTTAGAGCAGATATTGTCACACAATTCTGCTTTTAGGCCGGTTTGAGATTTTCTCAGATATTTGAAGCACTCTGAAACCTAGCTCAAGTTAACATTTAAATATTTTCACGTTGTTACCTGCGTTGGGCAGATTTAAGTGCTATTTGTGTACACGTTTATGCTTGGTTCGCAACAAGCTAACACCTGCAGGATTTATTTTGTTATGTTTTAAATTGTTATTATCCAAGCCCCCATCATACACATTTTATTATAATTGAAGAGGCCTTTTTCATTATTATTAAGGTAGCATTTTTTCATTGTGAAAGCACGTTTGAGATTGGTTTCTCCAGGTTAATGTTTTGTTTATGTTGTTTTATGGTTGGGAGCTGGTTCTAAGGCTTTTTCCTGATCTGCTAAAATCAGTCTCTCCTCAGAAAGATTAATATCTCTACAACTTTTTTGGTCATTGGGGTCAAAAAGAGCACTCCGTGAAAAAAAAGAAAAATCAATATATTGCACTGCAAAGTATAATCTTGAAATATGACATAGGCTTAGATCATCAGAAGTGAATTCTGGGGGAGGCTGCCAAATTCTGACTGTATTAAAAGATGTTCCAACCTAAATCACAACAATACAGAGGAGCCTCCCATCCCTGCTAGAAGATGCTCAACCCGACTCCCTGGCATCAGGATCTGAAGTACAGGAAGGTCCAAATGAGGTGGAGATCAGAATTCAGCACCGTCTCCAAAAACAGCAGCCAACATGCACTTAGTCCAGAGAAATCCGGCTCATCAGTTAACTCCCATCACACCACATGATTTCTAGGAAATTATATGCATCCCATTCTGCATTGCAGTCATCAATCACTTCCTGCTTCTAAATGCCACAAACTGTTCAAGGCATTGACTTGCATTCATTGTTATTTTAATAACTAATTATTAGTTTAATATCGTATTGGCTTGGTCTTTTGCCTGTACATTATATTACATGAGTTAAAACGTACAACATGTTCTGCCATTAGGAGTCTCAACCAAAACAATAACTAAAGCATTTGGTGGCTCAATGATGTAGTCCGGGATCATGGGGGACGTTGTCTTCAACACCATTTTGTTATTGTAGTCATCTTCTCCTGGTTAGGATTCCTTCAGGGATCATCGTTCAGGATGTTTTTTTTACTGAAATATCTGCAGAGATCTCCTCCTCTCCAATACACGCCTACCCTAAAGCTGTTTCAGGTTAGAATCAGTGTCTCTCAGAGGTTGCACTGTGTATAAAGTTTCCTCAGATTGTTTCTCAGACAACTAAAGATCCAGATGTTTTGGAGGTATTCACCAGGGGAAGATTCATCCCCAGAAGTCCTCTCCTCAACTCAAGAAACAGCATGGGTGTTACTACTAACTCTGATAATTAATCACATTACATTTAATGATTACCTACGCTATGGGGCAGGCTGCTCCTCCCAAAATACAGTTTGGCCTTCACCTCATCTTTAATTATTTTCTGGAATTAATAAAAACGGGATGTTAAGAGCATTCCATGGAATATAACAAAAAGTGTTTCTGAAATAAATGACATACCCCGCCTTTAAGACATGTTTCCTTACGTTGCCAATAGAATGAAAATAGGTAAAATCATGTTTTAAGATAAATATCACTTTTTAAAAATTACTGTTATGATACGGTCACAAGAAAAAAGGGATCATTGAGGTCAAAAAGTCCATTTATGACAGCTTCCAACCTGTGGACATGTGCAAAGTGGATTTTTCCATTACAAGCAACCGAATGAAATGGATAGCTAGCTTGATTAAAATTACAGATTTCTTTAGTTTTGAGAACTGATGGAAGCATTTGGGATAATGTTCACAATCTAACTAAATAAAAACAAAGGTCTAGATGGGCTTTTAAAATATTTCAATGTTATATATTAAAGCTTTAAATACAACTGGATGGATAGAGCTAGACATTCAGCCTGGGATTTATATTCCCCTCCAGATGCAGTTACTGTTTTTCCAATAATTTAGATGTGATGATGAATGTCCCCCCCTGGCAGCAGAAGGCTATTGGATCCTGTCCAATGTTCCATTATGGTGAGGAACAGAAATCAGTCAATTGAAAGTGCTTGATTTTAAGCGGCAGTTGTATTTTAATCTAGTTTCTGATCATTCATCATGTAATTCTGTGATCTCATGCTGATTTCTTACTTGTAGTTAGATGCCCCCAGGCCACTCCTGTTTCCTTTGTCTCCAGCTCAGGCATTAAACACAATGGACACGTGGATCGGGACACTGAGCAACGTCTTAGCAGAGCCTCCATCAAAGCAATGGCTAATGAGATTTGTTGATAGAATCTGACACAGTTACAGTGGCCTTACATTCATAAATGATTCACTCTGTGATGAGACTGTGGTGTAAAATTAACATTATGTTACATTAACTTTTATGAACTCCCAGGCACATGCAGGTATTTCACATGCAACCAAAATCTTTGCAAATTGCATAAAAAAGGTTCTCTATTGGCATATTAGTCCTATTTAAACATCCCTGTGATATTCTTTGCAACATCAGTGCCTTAATGAAAATGTTCTGGGTCTGCAGCTCAGGGGCTGCAGTGCTTCATGTGCAGTCTGCATGCCGTGCCGGAGCCCTAATGGCAAAAAAGCTGCGCTCACATATGATTCATGGCCGCCTCTCAGCATGTATGTGAGCAACACTGTTGGTCCGACACACATATACACCAGAGGCAGACACACATAGGCTGAGTGTGTGTGTGCGCTGGTGAAGGGAAGAAGATTATAGGGTTAGACTGAGTGACTGTATGAATAAAAATAAGAAAGCCAGCAATGGAAAGACGGAGTGTGCAGTGTGTGTGTTCATGCACGCATATACACTTCCATGGAGTGGCTTTTTCTCAGGGTAAGATAGGAAGCATACAGGAGTGGACATTTGCGAGCAAGGTGGAAAAACGGAGGTGAGGGTGAGAGACCGGGGGTGCTTGAGATGCTGGAGGTGGAGTGTTTGGGTGCCGGGAGAGCTGGGCACTAGAACATACTGTAAATGTGTGTGTGGGGCTCTGAGAGAATAGCGGAAATAGGGAAATGCGTTCATGTGCAAGGCATTATACCAATGTCACGTTTCCAGAAAACACTGCAGGGAGACTCTGTTAAGTCTTGTGTGAAGAATTATGCTGAACCTTCAAAATAGTGGGTCAGATTGTAGGTTTAAAGCAGCTGACCTCACACACAGTGTATTCTGTGTTGTTGTAGCACAGAGCCAATACTTAGCATTCATTTTGCAGCAAATCCACAACATGCCACACTCAGCATTCCTCAAGATGGGATGCATTTCTTCTGCAGGCAATTCAATGCCACTCATTTGTCAGCTGTGGCTCATTTGTATTGGCTTGGAAGAACTCATTTCCATAACAATATCATGTCTATAAACGCTCACTCATGCTATTATTCCGTGCTTGTTTTTTTTGTCACTGCAGTGTGTTCACAGTCACAGAGGCCATGACTGAGCTTGTGTGATGTTAACTCTGTGAGACTCTGTCTCTTTGTGTAGTGAGCAGCTGAATTATTGAGTTTGTCACTTGGGTTCTATAGTGTGTGTGCATGTTTAGTACATATACAATGTGTAAGGCTCAGATGAATCCTTCTGTGATTGTGCTCATCTTGGCTATATTTAGACGAGAGACCAGTTGTTGTAATGTATCAGTAGGTATGGAAAAGGTTTAGGAAAGACAGGAAATCAGCGGTTGTTCCCCAAAGATCTATTCTGTCAGCATTTGTGTTGATGTGTTTGTGTAGGTGACTGCAAAGGAATACACAACCACAGAAACATATTTGTGAGAATATAAATGAATGAAATGATGTAGCATCATTGCAGCTTTTGCATATGAATTCCAGTGTATCCTGTTGAGTTTGTCGGCATCATGTGTTTTTATTTTGTGTTGGGTTTGTCAGCTCCAAAGCTCCTGAGCTAATCTCTCTCCCCGCCTCTGAGGTGTCTGCGCCATGCAGCGTTATTATCCGGCACCGGGTGTGGAGGTAATCCCTCAATCAGCCCAAATACCGTCATTATGAACTAATGATGAGATAAATCCAGCCCGGTCCGGCTCCCTCTCCCCTCAACAGCCTGTTTATGTGTCCCACTGAGATAAAGTGCGCCACCTCAATCAGCTGCAGGGCTGCACGCTTTATGAGGGAGGAGGATCCCTCTTAAGTAAACACATGCAGCACAGATGCAGAGTGAAACATTTCACTTTTTCTCATTGAGTCTTTATATTTCACATCTTTTTTTGATGGTGACTTCATTTGTGTTCCAGCCCAAATGTGTATTTCCCTATTTATTTATTGCATACTTATATTTGAAGCCATATAGTGGAATCCATAATCCTCTCGCGCGGACATGAGGTTCACATTTGTTTATGTGGAATGTCTCAATAATAATATATTGGTGTGATAGTTTGAGTTTCTAAGCATGCTCACAGTAAACAACTGAATTCACATGAATAATAAAAACATGTATACATTTATTATGCAAATGTATACATGTATCTACATATATGTACATGCATATATATATTCATACTCATAAAGTACATACATATAACAATGACCATACACTTACTTAAAAGATTGCACATACTATGTGATAAAACAACAATGTGCAAGTAACATTTAGTTTATGACCAAATACCTGCTCACCTGACCTTTCATCCTCCTCAGCTGTGCTTTGTTTGAATGCTTATTAGCAAATGATGGCATGCAACACATTAAAGGTAGATGCAGAACAATGTAAACATGACATCAGTATGTTAGCATTGTAAATGGGAGCATGTTAGCATGGTGTAGATTACAAGCAGCGCCCTCCCTCAATACACCTCACTGAGCTGCTAGTAAGGTGGCAGACTCTTGTTTAAACACACTAGTGTTCAAACTGTGTTTTTAGCCTGTAAAACTTGTCCATATTATCGATGTGATCGGATTAAAGTTGAGTAAAATGCAGAAACTTTAATTGACTACCTGTAATTTAAATGTGCAAAATGTGGATCAAAGTTGTACACATCCTAATGCATTTGATTAAGGCCTAGTGCTTTGATTGGCAAATAATTGCATGATTAGACGGCAACCAACTGGAAAAAGACTGAGCTTTTAAAAAACTGACCTAAAGTAGAACACAATTCGAACTATTATCCAATTAAAAGGGAGGCAGATTTGTTATGGCCACTTGTGTGTTTTACAAACGCCTGGGTCACTGTTTCTGATACTCGTGGAATCTGGACAGCTTGTTCCACCCATAACCACAATAGAGGATATAAGCAGACACATTTTAGAAGGACCTAACTTTGTCAGCACCAGAGTAAGGTATGTGGGTGTTTTAGGACACAGTGCCAGCTCCAAAAGAGTTTGCCTGCGTGTTTCTGTAAACGGTGCTATTGTGGGTCCGAAGAGTCTGTGTGTTTGTGGATGTTTCAGGAGCGTGGGAGTGGGATCACCTACAGGAGGCGCTGGAAGAGAAGCTGAAGAATACGCTCGCTGCAGCCCAGCTGATTGAGCGCATACGATCCCTCATCGGCAAAGAAAAGGTGAGGAATTCAATGTTTAAAATCACCTCTCTGACACTTACATTCACGACAAAGCACATACTGAAAAATACATAACATTAACTCACCTCTGTTTGGACAACTATAGATCACGACGGAGGAAGAAAAACAAGAATATATTGTGGTGTGTATGCTATAACAGTTGTCTTTGCAAAAAGAGGTTAAATATTTACTATTTTTCAAATCTTTGAAGTTATGAACACTTGTTTTCATAGCTGCAGACTAACAGCGCCTTAATTAACAAGACCATGTTTGACAAACAGCCCAGTAATAAGTGGCTATAATTAGCTTATTTGCATATTATCTGCCCGCATCACCCCTCAGATACTGTGGGAACTAGGACAGAATAAACAAGAGATGCCTTCAAAAGAGAAGGACATTATCACAATTACTGGAAGATTTCAATCTGCAGCGTCGCATCTTAAATGTATTGTGTCTATTTGGGAACACGAGGTGTAATAGGCAGGCAGCAGATTTTGACATTAGAGACGTCAGGAGAGCTGACATATCTGCGCCTGACAAGCCCCTGGCACCATGCACGGCCCACCAACCCATCTGTAAGGAACTAGGTCTTTTACCTGAGGCGGTGCTGACACACCGAGTGACAGCTGGGCTACTTTAACGCAATGAGACACCATAATGTCCTGTCGTGATGTGATCTCCTCCTCTGAAAACACCTCGGGGTCCCCTTGCTCTGCGCGGAAACCGGCTGAAATTAGCTTTTTTCTGTAAGCTGTTCTAATGATGTACAAAATCGAAGAGTCTTGATTCTGTTGCTGCCTTCTACTGAGGACCGTGTGTTTGCCGAGCGCTCCCTCTGCAGCAGAGCAGTGCGAGAATATGAAGTTCTTTGTGCTCCAGTTGACTGAGAAAGGTCACAGGATGGAAATGGGGTGCTTTGACGAGACTCACTTAAAAACAGCTCTCAAAAAAGACACCCTGACAGCTGCTAACTCCACCTCTTGTGCACTGCAGCAAATACACATCGTGCATCCTTTGAATGCTTAAATGGAAAAGGAACACGTTAATAAATTGACAGTTTGGACAAGTGTGTGGTTGCCAGTCTGTTCTCAGCAAAAGCCCGTCCCGTCATGTCGATCTTGGCATTGCAGTTTAAGTATGTTTGGGTAGCGCTAAGAAAGACTGGCAGAGGGTTCATTTGTATTCAACGGAGGAGGTGGGATACATGCATGGAATGGCAAATGAGCTGCTAACTAGTACCTGACATCCAGCAGAGGAATGTAAACTCTCTCTGTACTTTCCTTTTGGCTTATTTTTCTTCTGTGTGTGTGTGTGTGTGTGTGTGTGTGTGTATGTGTGTGTGTGTGTGTGTGTGTGTGTGTGTGTGTGTGTGTGTGTGTGTGTGTGTGTGTGTGTGTAGGGCCCCAGGGACACCCCCAGCGCCAGGGCGGCTCAGCTCGGCCCCCAGACTCTTGTCAACCTCTTCAATTCTCCTCTCTACTCTGACGTCATCTTCATGGTGCAAGGTGGGCCAAGTATTATCTGTTGGAGACGTTCACAAATGCATGCGCCGTCACACCGCAGAGGAAGGTCACATTTAATTAGCCCTGATTGAATTATGATGTCAGTCCAGGGTCTGGGCATACATTTTGAGGCAAATTAAAAGAGGAATGGTCCAGGGGGCGATTTTTCCAATTCTCTATTAAAAGGATCAAATCCAGAAATAATGTCCTAAGGCCTCTTCTAATCAATATTTATCTCATAAGAAGTGCAGCGAGCCGTTCGTGTCCTTGCACCCCTGAGCTGTGAGTTAAACTCATGGAGGTCACAGAGACAAATGTCTACAAGAATATTTTACGCTTCTTCTATGATTTTTTCACACTAGCCTTCTAACGTAATGTTTTGGGAGCTGTCACTGGCTGTTAATGGCACTTAATAACAGGACTTGTGCCGATGATTTACATGTTTTTGGTTTCCTGTTCATTTAAATGGCCCATTATAAGAGATCATCACTCATAACCAAAGCCAAATGGAGTCACGTTTGACCTCTACTCTTCTGCAATGAGGGAAAACAGACGTGTCAGTGATATTAAAGAGGCCCTATTATGCTTTTAGGCCTTTTCCATTTCCTGTAGTACTGTCCAATCGCAACAGAGCCGGCCAGCTAACCAATCAGAGCAGACTGGGTTCTGGTTTCAGACAGAGGGTGAAAAGAGGTGCTGCTGCACAGGCAGTATGAGAAAAATAAAGAGCTTTTAGAACATTAAAGCATGCAAACATGTCACAGTAGAGGATCAGAATACAAATATGAACCTGAAATTGAGCATAATAGGGCCCCTTCAAAGGGTTTGGCTTGTGGAAAATAATACAAAATCTGTATGGGTTTGTGAACGTCTCCAAACATTATTAGATCAAAGAGGCTTTCTGTTTCTGTCACTCAAGATTCAATACATTAATTACAAACTGTTTATTCTCTCAGGCGTTTCCTCTCGCAGCTCTTTGGGACTTAGGGACGCTACTATGAAATTCTAAACCTAAATGTTGCATGTGTGTGTTTGTGTGTGTGTGTGTGATTTTAGGGAGTGTGTTGCCAGCCCACCGAGCGGTGCTGGTGGCTCGCTGCGACGTCATGGCAGCCATGTTCAGCGGGAAGTATGCGGAGGCCCGGAGCCGAGTGGTGCCCATCCATGGAGTCTCCTCAGACACCTTCCTGTCCTTCCTGGAGTATCTCTACACTGACTCCTGCTGTCCTGGTGAGTACACTGCCCACTGTGACCCCCACTGCTGGGTTACAATTACATTTAAAGGTCGCCAGTTTAGGTGCCCTTATGGGATATAAAAACTGCGACGGGAGGCCTAAATATAGTCAGGAAATGTCCCTGCTTTCCTCTTTATGTTGTGGACTAATTAAATCCCGTAACAGATTTATTACAGTCGTGAGATGATTGAACTGGGAAACCCTCAGTCAGCGTGTCATTCATTCACTCCACTATAACTACCCTCTCAGGCTGCTGCTGTAAATAAAAATAGAGTTTTATGAGGGATCAAATCTCTAAATAGACAGGTCATGGATTTGTGACTGAGATAAAAGTTGCTTGACATGGATCAGACCAACATCATCTGAAGGACAATGGACCTTTGATGGCCTCTTAATTTACCGCAGAAATAAGCACCATTACAGAAACACTTGAGAGCGGCACGGCGGTGTTTTCCCGCCTCGCTCCCCAAGCGCAGCCCAAAACAAAAGCGCAGATGAAAAGTCCTATCAACCATCTGTGTGACTGCGACATGCTGCCAGTGTCAGTCTCGAGGGGGCCCCGCGGAGAACAGCAGCAGGCTTGAAATTAAATTAGAATTAGTGATGACAAAATCAACCCGTGGCATCGTCTGCTTTTAGCGGTGCCAACTCTCAGCCCCAAACGTGTTGTTGTGGTTGTCACTTTCACCGCGTACAATGCCTTTTAAAAGTAATTAGTGTTGATCATTCACTGGTGGTGGAGGCGATGACATTATCTTTCTACAACCTTGAAGATACATTCATTCATATTTGTATTGTACCCGCGAATCAAGCGTTACAAGGGTGACTGTAGCGTAATACATTATTTTACGGAGATAACTCATTATTACATTTCCAATAAAAAAACTTTTAAATTCATGAGAATTTGTTTAGGAAACCACATCCCAAGGTTTCTTCACCTCAAAGAAGTTGCCTCCCCTTGTGTATTATGTGGGCACCTTATCAAATTATACTTTGTAATATAAGTAAGTTGTAATTGTAGCCCCAAATCAGACTGTATTGATTCGTTCTGAATAGGCATAATTCATATAAATGTATTTTCATGCTAATTAAGTGATAGCCTTTCTGCGTAAGGAACTAAAACAATATATCCAGACAGGGGCGGACTGGGACTAAAAATCAGCCCGGGACTCTCGACCGGCCCACTTAGGTACCGCCGGCCCACCTCAAATCAAATCAAGTTTTATTTATATAGCACATTTATAAACGATTTTTGGTCGAGCCAAAGTGCTGTACATATAATAAAAATAGCCTACGGTAGAGACACTTTACAGCAAATACAACAGCACAGATTGTTCAGAATATCAGTATGAGAAAAACGACACCCTCTATCCTTAGACCCTCACATCGTACAAGGAAAAACGTCCAGAGAAAACCCACAGTTTAAAGGGAACATGGGAGAAACCACAGGGAGAGCAACAGAGGAGGGATCCCTCTCCCAGGACGGACAGACGTGCAATAGATGCCGTGTGTAAATCGAAGAGATAATACATTTTACAGCATATAGACCGAATGTTAGGAAATGCATGTGTCTGTAATAAGAAGATGAATCCACGAGGATGTCAGCTACAATCCTGTGGAAGCCATCAGGGAAGCAGCATGACGAGTCCAAGGCAGGACCGCAGAGACAGGTTCAGCCACGACCCGAAGTCCACGACTTAATCCAGAACTCAGGATAGAGGATCCAAGATACAGGACTACAGCAAGAGGATCAGCCTCGACTCCAGATCCCGGCGTAGATATAGATACAAAACAAGAAAAAAGATTTGGCTGGGTTAATCGGAACAAGAGAATACACAGACACAGACAGAGAGGGAAAAGGTCATTGGATAAAAGTTATTCTTGATAACCCTCTAGAAAGATCTCATGAACTTCCCCACTCAATCTTTCAAGACCCGAGCAGTTCTATTAGATATAGGATAAGAAACAGAGATAGGGAGCACAACCTCGGTACCACAAGTAAATTCTGCTAGTAAATTGTCGACGGGGGGGGGGGGGGGGGCTAGTGACCTATCCGACCGGCCCACATCTTCGGACCGGTCCACTTCAGTACCGGCCCATCGGGATTCGTTCCGAACGTCCCGATGGCCAGTCCGCCACTGTATCCAGATGAAGGATATCTCCATGTAACAAACTGTTGCACCTCCTCTCCACAATGTACTTGTAGCTTTCCCTGTTGTGCTTGATCCCTCTGAAAATCAACAGCTCTGAGTATCTTTGGCAATTTTTACCTTGTTCACCCAGACCAGGGGTGGCCAACCAGTCAGAGGTTAAGAGCCACATTTTTTCTATGTTACTGCAAAGAGCCACATCAAACACACAGTCACTGATACCGCTTGTTTCCGTTTTTTGTTTTCTGGAGACAAGATTTCAACCACGTCACTGATGCATTTTTGTGGCATTGGGATATTTTTTTTTAAAAATCCTCTGGAGCAGAGAGAGGAGCTTTGGATTATTGTTATTGATTAATGCATCAGTGTTTCTTAGGGTCAAAAACACTAAACTCACAACTTAAAATGAAAGCGTTTAGTTTATTTAATAAAAGAGCACATGTTCAATGTGAAAAGTGACAGTAGTTATAGATTATTTGCAATTTGGTGCTATATATATATTTAAAAATAAAATTATATATATATTTTTTTTAAACACCTTGAATTTCAGGGGGGGGCGCGGGGCTCCGTTGGCGGGGCGCAGCGCCCCTCCAAGACAATGGTAGGGGAAACACTGGATAATGTTTAATCAACGATAGGTTTTCCCCCCCTCAAAGGTGATTGGTTCACTGCATCGCAGGTATTATTGTGATTGGCTCTTGGGCCACATCAAAATTATACGCGCTGTCATCCTCTCATACTGACACCACACATACACAACATACATAACACGGGACGAAAGTAACGGAGCGATTTTATCCGAGCCCAAACAACTTTGACCGGCCAAATTACGTCAGAATTATCAGCATTCAATACTTAACAGACCTACTAAATATCAGGTTTAACTGTCAGCCGTAGCTAGCTAGTGTTGTCACGATACCAACATTTTGGTTTCGATACCAAGTCAAGAATTACGATTCCGATTCTTTTTCGATACTTTTCTTAAAAAAAGGGAAACGGTCTTAAATGTAATTATTGTGCTTTATTTCACACCAGAACCATAACCATAACACAAACTTTTAAACAATGAGAACAATAAATAAAATAAATGACAAGAATTCGTATTAAATCAAATTAATAAATGTCTTACAGACAGGCCTCGTGGTGTCCGTAGGCTTGCCCTCACTGTCAGAGATATAGCTAAAATACTTCCAAATTTCGCTTCTGGCGTCTTTTTTGTCAACAAGCCGAGGCGCAGCGGCAGTTGCACTCCCACTTGCAGCCATGCTTCTCGTTTTCTCACATGCTCTGGCAGCTAGCGCGTGCACGAGAGAGGGGAGGCACTTAGAGCGTGCTTGAGAGGGGAGGGACTTAGAGCGTGCTTGAGAGGGGCGGGACTGCAGGCACGGCTGCAGTGCAGGGAGTGGAAGCAGAGCGCTGAACACACACGGCTCTTATTAAAACGGCGCTTTCTCACCGGAGTACTTTCCCCCGTCATTCTTAAAGTACCGATACTAATGAAACGGAGGAATCGTAACGTTTTTAACGGCAGGGTATCGCGGTACCTTTCAAGTATCGGTACACCGTGCAACACTAGTCAGGAGTCAGTGTCTCTCCCCCAAACTCACACATATAAAATTCGATATGAACTGAAGAGCCGCATGAAACTAGGCAAAGAGCCGCATGCGGCTCGAGAGCCGCGGGTTGGCCACCCCTGACCCAGACAATCAAGATAATAGCAGTTCTCACTCCACAGACTTACACACTAGATTGTTTGCTTCCTGTCCGGTGACAAAATTGCTTCGAGTCACGGTAAAAGACAGAAACCCCCAAAACTTTTTAGAAATGCCAGTGACTACTGACCAAAGGGACTCCATTGTATTGCTTTGCTTTGTGTCTGCTGACTCTTTGTTAAGAGCTTAGCCAAAACAACTGGATGAGCTGAAATATGAAAAAAAGGGTTCTTCTTGTGTTTATTTTTGAGTTTGTCTGCCCCCTAGTGATGCAAGATTACTTAATGCAGCTCTGAACGACAAGCTTATGCAGTCATGCTTAAAGGGGCTGTGATTGCAGTGAGTGTATGTGTGTGTGTGTGTGCGTGTGTGTTACTGTGTGTGTGTCCATTGTGACATCATAAGTAACTGTAGTCCTGCTTGGATGGAGCCTCCCAACAACAGATGATTACAGATTCAAAAAGGCACTAAGAACAATCCATTACGACCCCTAATTAATAGATAAAGCCTTCAAACTGTAAACTAACAATTACAGATGTAATTACAACACTGTCTATCATCTTCTCTTCCTGTACTCTTATATAACGAAGCGGCTGAATGGACAATAAAAAAAGCTCAGAATAATCCATTCAGAAACACCAGCTACTGAGAGAGAACTGGCAATCCCATTATTTCGAGGAATGAGATGTTTTGATGAAAAAAAAATCATGAAAATCCTTCAACAAACAACCCGTGAGATGCAGCTTAGGAGCAGGGAGGGTGAGCCCGCTGTTTGCAGAGATACAGCTTCAGGTTGAATCATGTGAACAGGAAATGAAAGGAATGAAGCAGCTCCAGAGGCTTGCTGCACTGTTATGTAAGAGCTCAGCGCTCAAGGTCAACCCAAGGTAACTCCACCAGCAGCGACTAAAACTGAGGCAGTGGAATCAAAGTAGGAGGAATATGGTGAATCCTGTAGATGGTGTGTGATAGTAGAATACATTTCCACTGCCTTCTTCTGTGTTTGGATGACTGTGCAGTGTGTGCAGAGAATTAACTGAATGAAGTCACATCAGGAGTCATTTAGTGGGAATGCTGATACAGCATTCCCACTATATATTATTCTACGCACAAAAAGTTTATTATTATTATTCCGCCGGGATTTTGGCCCTCTTCTCCTCCCGCATTGAACATCGCAGAAACTCCGTTCAAACATCAAAACATTCAGCTCGGTCGGGAATCGATGGCTATTACTTTTCTCATTCATAACTTTCATAATTCCAGAGATACATCCCATAATTCATCAAATGTTTAACATTGAAGTCAATGGAGGAATCTTCAGACTTCAACAAATCTTCATGCGAATTCAACTGCTAACTGTTCATTCATACTTTCACTCAGAAACCTCATTCCAACTTTAAAATGTTACACATCTTTCTGACATTATTCGTGTAAAACAACTTTTACATCTGATTCTTACTTTTAGAGATATTAAACATTGTTCAGACCTTGTTAAAGAGGTTTTCTTCAGATTTTAACATTAACTAGAGTGCGTGATGTCACAGCTAGAGGGTAGAAAATCTTGAAATTTGCCTTCATATATTTTTTAAACTGCCATAATTCCCAAACCCTACATTCCTGAGACATAATTTATCATGACAAACGTAGGAAAACATCTCGTAGCTTAAAAATGACAAATAATTAAGTAAAATAATTAAACAAAATGCCTCTTGAGGGCATGAAGTGACAAAAACTTTCAACATGCCTCCATTAAAGCCCATTGTAATTTCAGGCAGATATTTCCTCACGGCAGCAGCCACACACCTTTAGTTAAACTGCCAAAAAGGCCACATTAGTAACCCGAAAGTACACACAAATTACACTTCAGATACTCAACTTCCTTGACATGCTTCACGTTTTGAAATTTCAGAGATATCTGTTACGGTTCTTCCACAAAACGTTCACATGTAAGAGGTTTATCTCTCATTCAGAACAATGGAAACCTGTGATCTCTGCACACCTCGTTAGTTCAAATATAAACACCTGTGTCATGGAACACGATGATGTCATCGCTCCAACTGACATGCTCAGAGCAGCAGACTTCAGATAGCAGTGTGCTAACAGTCCAGCCGTGGATGTCCACGGGACAGTTTTGAGATTCCTCCAAATGCCGTTGCCATGGCAACACAATGCTAGCCTTGAAACACGGTTTTCTCATAATTTCAGTAAAAATACTCCAAACTTCACAGGTTTGATAACGATGCAGCCATCAACGCATCTAAGCGTATTATGGGGTGTCATCAAATGCCGTTGCCATGGCGACAGACAACTCGCCATGAAACAGGATGTTGCTGTAAGTCCAATTGACACGGTCCAATCGTCCCCCAATCTTCACTTGTATATCACCGGTCCATGCCTCAACAGCTCTACGCCAAATCTGGGATCTCACCATATGCCGTTTTCATGGAAACGCATCCCTCGCCATAAAACATGATGTCGCTATAACTCCTATGAAAATGTTCAAAAAGTGGTCAAACCTCACATGTGTACTAACAGTCCAGCCGTGAAGACATCTACGGGACAGTTTTTAGATTTCTTCAAATGCCGTTGCCATGGCAACACAATGCTCGCCATAAAACACGGTTTTCTCATTACTTCAGTGAAAATGCTCCAAACGCCCCAAAACTTCACAGGTTTGGTAACGATGCAGCCATCAACGCATCTAAGCGTATTATGGGGTGTCATCAAATGCCGTTGCCATGGCGACAGGTCATTCGCCATCAAATTAGTTCAGAAGTTTGCAGTTCAAATATTCTACTGCTTTTCCAAGCCTTTTACTTTCTTTTCTTCTCTCATCACACATTCAAGCCCCCAGTGTTCATGTATCATTTCAATCTAAATTATTCACTTTCTTCTTACACATTACATTTCAGCATAGCAGTTTAGCGTCAGCTTTTCAGCATAAAGCATTCCCACTAGCAATTTCTTCAGGAATTGCATTCTCTAGTTTGATTTGACATTCTGACGTTACGTAAGAGGATTGACATTACTTGTTTGACGTTGCTTTTAAGTACGTCATTTGACAGCTTGGAAAGAGCAACAGGAAATGATGCATCTGCTGTTTTCACTGACTCACAGATTTGACACTGAGCTATTAAGATTGAGTCTGTGTGATTATAATGTGTCTTTTAATCTAAGAAATGGTGTGGTTTTAAAAAGGGATTTCTATTAAATCAGTCGGATCCATCACACTGGTGTTCAATCTTAGAGACTGAAAGAAGAAAGAAGACTGCAGAGTAAATATAAAATAACACACAAGTATAAAGTCATGAATACATAATACTATTCTTGTTTTGTGATTTAAGGTTTGTGTCAGTATTACTTCTAGGGCTAGTTACCTTAGCTACCTTTTCAAACCAGTTATTGTAAACAATATTGAGTGAAGTGCTATTTACAGTTTACTCTCCTTTTAGCTGTTTTCTGTGCAGAAGCCAAAAACGTCAGTCATTTTTTTCTAATGCCCTTTCTCAGTAAAACAAAAGGCCCATTTTTGAAGATAAGGAGATCATTTATAAACAGAAAACAACTAGTTCTCTCACGAAATCAGGATGTCTGCCATCAAGATGGGGACTGTCTGAGGGATTAATAACAGAAAAGTAAGTGAAGGCATACATCTGCAATTTATGACTTGATTATTAAAGAGATGAGGACTGATCTAATAACATAAAAAAACAATGCAGCTCCTGACATTTTTATCTTAAATGTGTTGTCGAGCTGCATCTACAGTAAGGCAAGGCACTCCTGGTCTCGGTTAAACATTGAAAGTATTAATAACAATTGTTTTCTTGTGATAACGGATTGATTGTATTGTTATCTTGAGATAACAAAGTTTATTTTTACTGAGATAGCTAAAAAATAAACTTGTTATCTCAAGATAATGCCATTAATAAAAGTGTTTTGATAACTCGTGAAATTAATATCTGGCTCTTTAGCTGCTTAATGTTCCACTATATTCAGCAGCCTAATCGCTAACCCTCTCTCTGAGGCATGGTGGGTTTTACAAACCTTTAGCTCAGAACAGCTTGCTGCTTGTGCTGGAAATGCAACTTGTGAAAGCAGTGAGAGTGAATCAAAACTGCAAAGTTGTTTGGTGTAAAACTAGGAAAACGAGCTGAAAGCCGCTAAAATGTTCGGTAGAGATTCAGGGAACTGCAGTCAGGTATCATTCTCTGTTTGTTTGTTACTATAAGCAATTCCTTTCACATACATAATATTTGTTCCCCATTGCATAACAGTATTAATGAATACAGATCTTTCAGGGCTTTGTAACATTCTCATGTAAGATGCTGCTGGATGTTGAAAGCAGCATGTGTGAAATAGACAAACTAAATCATTGTATAACTATAGGGTAGTTTAAAGCTTCTCAAGGCAATCCCGGTATGGCTCATTTCCAAACACATATTGAGCAATAATCATAAAAACAGCTACTTTACTTCAGGGAGCGTTTTGGCTTTCCTCTGGGGGACTAAACTCTTAAAACGTGTCAGGCTATCGTATACATCTGGAATAAACTGTTCTCTACATGATGTTTCAGCAGTGTAAGTGTAACACCTGTGACTGTGTGTGTGTACACAGCCAGTGTGCTGCAGGCCATGGCCGTGCTGGTGTGTGCCGAGATGTACCAGGTGAAGCGTCTGCAGCACCTGTGTGAGGTGTGTGTGTGCGCCTACCTTCAGAGCATGCCCAGTAGAGAGCTGTCGTCGACGGGCATCAGCGTGATCAGACTCCTCCGCCGAGCAAAGGTCAGTACGGCTTTGAATTTAGGGATGAATGGAGAGCATTAAAATACCTGCAGCAGACGCCATATTGCTGTGTAAACTGATTACTTCTTCATTATGATGCAACATTTACTTCAGCCATAAGAAAAAAGCTACTTCAGCCAAATGCTTTTTGCTGGAGCAATTCATCTTTTAGCTGTAGGAATCCATGTGCAACAGATATTCATGTTTATCTGTCCAAAAGCATTCATTCTTAAGAGAGTGATTGTTATTTGTGTGTGTTTGGGTTTTCAGTGCCACAATGCAGAGCAGCTGTACATCTGGCTCCTCCACTTTATCGCCAACAACTACCTGATCTTCAGTCACAAACCTGACTTCCTGGAGCTCTCAGGTCAGTGTGGGATGTTTTTTAAATGTAGTAAATTGTATCAAAGCAATCACAAGGTGACAGGTTAGTCCCTGATTCCCCCTCAACACAGGAGTGAATATATATAGTAAATAATACGAGGCCCTTATGACTAGATGTGAGGAGAATCTGTGTGCCACTGTGGTGTTTTATTTTAGCAACCTTTCATTTTTATATATTTTCTCTCGTGTCTCCTGATATGTTTCATTGCTCTTGCGTTTACTCTCCCAAAATGCACAGAATTACTACATTTCTAAAACTAAAATCTCTGTACAGCAGAGTACATAAAACTGATTTAGTGTGGAGGTATATTTTGTGATTCAGACTGCTGTCCCCAGAAAAAAAAGAATGTATTTTAATATCAAACATGCCTTGTGAGGGTTGTGCACACTTAAATTGCTGAAGAGAATGATAGAAACATTAAACAGCTGATTTCAACTATTTAAAAATAATAATTAAGTCCAAACGCCTTCAGGCTGTTAAGCATCTGTTGTTTTTCTCACAGTAAATGTAAGAAAATGTCCCACCTTCTCTAATAAAAGTGCTAAAAGAAGGTAGCCTGATAAACAGTTATTTTTGTATGTGTTGCACAATATAGCAGGGTTTATGGATGACACTATGAGCTGTCAGCCCCTCTGAATAATGCATCCTTATAGTATGCTTATACTATAAGTTTATGCTTGAGTTACATAATAACTGCTTCTCAGTTATTATAGTCATATGTATTTAATAGAAGCATAGGAGCAGTTAAACAGCAACCTCACACAGGTTAGTGGCAGAAGCACATTTTATTATCATCATCAGTCAAACACACAATAATCCTTTAAGGTCATTGGACGGGTACTTAAGGGCACAGGAGAAGTAAAGGCCAGAGTAGTCGATCACCGCTAATCCTCTGTAGCTTGTTGGTGTAAACTGAATTGGAAACAATCCAAGGTGTTATGCTGTTAGAGTGAGTACTGTGTGTGTCAGGAACAGTACATATTGTAGTAATGATTGAGATGTGTTTGCAGGAGGTTACAGTTTCTATGTTGTTGTGTTTCCAGAGGAGGAGCGGGAACAGGTGGAGAGGCTACGCTGGCCGTCCAGAGGCTACCTGCAGGAGCTCAGCGAGTACCAGCAGCGGAGACGCAAGCTACGCAAGTCACGCTGCATAGTCATGTGACCTCACCTGGATGCCTGAAACAAGAGGGAGGAGAGAAGAGAGTCAGTGACACTCATCATGTGGAGAAACTGACTTGTTCTGCTGGCTGATTGTTGCTGACGTCATCAGACTTCTTAACCAATAGGACGCTTTGTGGAGCGGTGACACGCCTCTCCTCCCCCTGAAGGAATGGCTGTGCATCCTTTAATGAATGACTTTACTATCATGTGCAATACAAAATGCCTCAAACCCCAATATTAAACATGACCAGAGGCTCTGTGAAAGATTATATTTACATTAGCTGAGGATTTCTACAAAAGACAGTTACACAATAATTATTAAAAGACCGCACATCTGTTGGAAAACTTGCCGGGATCGTTGCAGGAAGGAAACTGTTCCTCTACTCGGAGGATGTTGGATTATCATCTGCACGCTGGAGAAATGAACATGACCCATGATGCATTTATGTCCCTAAAAGTGAAATATTTCCCAAGCCTCTGACTTCTCTGTGGCTCGATCAGTATTTCAGCGGTGACGTTCATTAAGAGAGAAAGTGAGTCATCTCCATCTGTAGTCTGTCAGGAGTCAGGATGCCCTTTATGAGACCAGCAGGACCAATTTAATCACAATTTGCTTATTCAGATTATCTCAGATCACTGTCGGACTGACTGACTTTTCTTAACATTTTAAAAAGAGAATACATTTCGGTCGTTGTCCGTCAAAAGAGGCCCTTATATTTTTATTTCGAAAAGACTTGAAATGTCATTTTAATGTAACTACATATTGCCTGTATCAAAAGTTACAATACATTTAGGACAGTAACAAATGTATATTTAAAACTTTCATTGAAACCCTGTAAGCTCGTACCACTTCCTTAGCAGGTTCCAATGAAATGATGTTGACAGTATTCCCTTTCTATTTGCAATAACACCTGATAATGGTCTGTCTCATTAATACAAACAAGACTTTTGTAGCATTTACATACAAATGTAGGAAAAGCAACCATATGAACATACGTTGGAACACTAAAAACCACAATGCCTCTGGATGGATAACAATATTTATTTGATCCTATTTTTCTTATTTGAGGGGTTGTTTTTAATCATACCAAGAATATGATTTATTGGTGCTGCAAATTATTATTTTTGTAAACTAAACTGTATGTGGACATTATGACATGCTTTTTTTTTTTTACATTCGGAGTAGAGGGTCTCGCTATTTTACAGTCTGCTGTTTCGCTGGTATTTACTTAAAAAAGGTGCATGATTATATTAAAAAACAAAACATGGGGGGGACAGGAAGACAGCAACTTATGTCAGAATGACCTTCAACAAAATGAAAAATCAATTGTGACATTTTGCAGCTATTTTTTATTCAGTAGGTTAGTCCTTAACAGTAATCAAACAGCATGTAATAGTATTTGTATCGGGTATTTTAGCAGAGGTGTAGCAGCAGGCTGTTAGTATAGTACTGTAGATAGTACTGCTGCTGCATCACAACAGGAACATCAACTTTAATCCCACTAATAAATCACATAAATCCTAATCTACTCCTCAAAAGAAATGAGTAAATAACAGCAGGAAGAGTGGACTGTAAACATGTGTAGTCCAGCGCTGCACTCAGTGTGGGCTGGGGTTGTACAGACGTCTGACTTTAAATAAAGACATGTTTTAGAATGAACAACATCACAGACTTGATCCATGTGTGCGCTCTGCTGTGTTTGTATTTTATTTGGCAGAACTCATTCTGCGTCTCCCTCCTCTTGCCTCTAGAAAATCCACCTGTTTTGTCGTCAGATTGCTGACAGGTTCAAATAAAAACAACATAAAGTGTGTGGGAGAGAAACTCCACCACATTCAACAACAACAAAAATAACACCCTAAAGGGAAGGGGAAACCCCAAAAAGCATAATAGGGCCTCTTCAAGTTGTAGTTCTTCGGAAAAAAAAACGTTTTATTTCAAATGTGTGGGTTTTTTCATTGTTGATTAACCACTTTGAAAACAATTTTTTTTGTAATACTACTACCCTTCTCCAGCACCATAATAACAACTATTTGTTAACCATTTTAACCCATTAGCCCTAATACGCTTTCAGAGAGATGAACATCATTCTTCTAAAATAAATGTCCCTCATTTTCTGGTTTGGTGATGTTGGTAGGATCAGACTACATGATGTCTTTCAAACTTAGATTAGGTCAGATTAGTTGATCACAGCCAGTCCTTTGTGCTGTGAAGATGCTTAAAGACATGACAGACAGCGATGGACTGGCAGAAAATAACTGGACTAGCCTTTGCCTTTGAGTCAGGCTATTATACTGCCAATCTTATAAACTCTTCTCTAATTATAACAAGTGTCAAAATCTTGTATGGCTGAAAATCCCCTGCAGTCACTCTGCCTCCTCGCTCAATCATTCAGGGGCTTCCTTTCATTTATCCCCATCTGCTCATTTCAATCAGGATTTAAAACGGTGTGGTCCTGGAGCAGATTTACCACTAAGCAATTACTTCTTATCTCTTTGAGCACCACCTCGGGCGTCTTATTTCCTATCATTTATTTATTCCCACCCTAATGAGAATTTACGGCTTCTAATTTATGCTCTTAATCACTTTCTGAGGGGCAACACCTACCTCCTTTTGCTTCCCTGCTATTGCAAAGGCTGAGCTATACGAGAGTGTGTGTGTGTGTGTGTGTTGTACCTGGAGGAGTGCAGCGGGTCACTGCAGGGCTCCAATAGACTGCAGCATGCTCTCCAGTTTGCCGCTCTGATGCAGCGCCATCACGTCGCTGCCGCCTCCGATACAATCCTCTCCGATGAACACCCGTGGGACCTACATTCAAATCGATACACGAGAACCAGGGATGCAACTGGTAAATATGCAGGCATCGATTTTTTGTGTTGTGCATAGACTCTATGAAGATAACGAGACCTTTTTTTCTACCATCAATCCCTTTAACATATTGTATCGTATCAAACACATAACGTATTGTACAGTGACAGAAAAAGGATAAATCGGCAACATTTGGATGGTTCCAGCTGCTCGAGTATGAATATTTTCTGATTACTATTTGGAGTAATTTGGAGGTTTGTAGTACGGGTTGGGCAACGACACACATTGATGATGTCACTCGAAGCCCTGAGTGGTTGTGCTGGGACTTTGTCACTTTCTGTTTAACACACCAAACAGTGCATGACTAAAGAAATTGCAGTGTGAATGCTGACATTACACTGAATAGTCAGCTTAAATAAGCTATTAGAAGAAAGTCAAAAAGTAGGAAGAGTTTGTTTAATTATTATAAATGAAACATTTTAATTAGAATTAAAAATGTATGAACGATGTGGATCATTAGGCTTTAAAATATATTATAATAAAAAGACAGTAATCTATAGTTGTAGTTGTAGACATAGTCTGCTTTAAAATAAATGCATGAGTCATAATAATCTTGTGATCATTTATACTAGTACAGGGAGCATAGTTTTGAGTTATTTTAGTGGTATTTTGAGAGTAGTAATAGGCCTGGTACTTTCTTCTGCATCTTCCACCACTGCATATATAACTGTACCATGATTCATTGTATCCATGCAGACACACAGGTTTAAACCATGTTTTCAAAAGCTGACCATTATTCTTTGATCAGACATATTGGATCTTCATGATGTAATGTTGCTACAAACATGTAAGTGAGGCTAGTGGGTTGTGTTGCTGCATCTGGGAGACTCCCTTATTGATCTCACAGTACTGACTCTTCATTAATGGATTAAACGGGGAAACTGTGGTCAAAAGCAGGGAATTAATCAGAAGTGTTAACATATTCATCACAGCTAATATAGACAACAAGGCTCTATGATGTGTATGTTAAAAACCTTCACCTTTTTCCTCAATTAGGCACACTGACTTTATAAGATAAACACATGTAAACGGTGGTGTTTCCCGGGTTTTAAAATGACACTTGCGTTGTTCAAACAATGACAAAGCAACTCGTGTTTACCGTGCGGGCTCCGGTGAGTTCCAGGAAGTACTGCTGCATGTTGTCCATGTCGGTGCGGCCACTTATATCAATGCACTCCAAATGTCCTGGCTTGAATTTATACTTGGACAACACGTCTTTGGCCGTAACGCAGTACGAGCACGTGGGCTTAATAAAAAGCACCACTTTGTCTCCTTTAATTTTGGTCTGCACAAACTGCTGCGCCATTTTTCAGTCGCTGGGTAGAAGTGGACAGAAGATGTAAAGTGAAATCAAGAACAAAGATGATCGCTCTTCCTTTGGTCAATTATGGTGTTCAGGAGGATGACGTCAGAGGCAGGTTCCTCCTTCTTAAAGAGACAGTACACACTCTGCATGTGAAGGACTTTGGGGGAGGGTCTGCAGACCCTCCCCCAAAGTGAGTAAGGGCAGTGGTGTTTTTTAGTGAAGTACATTTACTCAAGTACTGTACTTAAGTACGATTTCAAGGTACTATTTTGTTTTATGCTACTTTATACTTCTACACCGCTACACTTTTGAAGCCATTGTACTACTACATATTGTACTTTTTACTCTACTAAATGTATTTGACAAAACTTGTTACTTTACAGATTCAGATTATAAGATAAAACAAAATATAAATACACAAATAAATAAACTATGATACATAGGTATTGTACGGTGGCCCTGAAGTGCAAGACACCACAGCATTTCACAAAACACAACAGCATTTCAGAAAACACCACAGCATTTTCACAAAACGCTACAGCATTTCAGAAAACACTACAGCATTTCAGAAAACACCACAGCATTTCACAAAACACCACAGCATTTCACAAAACACTACAGCATTTCACAAAACGCCGCAGCATTTCAGAAAACACCACAGCATTTCAGAAAACACTACAGCATTTCAGAAAACACTACAGCATTTCACAAAACACCACAGCATTTCACAAAACACTACAGCATTTCACAAAACGCCGCAGCATTTCAGAAAACACCACAGCATTTCACATTGGACGGAAAGGGTATAGAGAGGCGAAGTCCCTCCCTTTAGACTCTGTTACTAACTGTATATCTGTAGACTTGGTATGTCTTAAATGTCCGGTTAGGATGTATTAGAACGAAATCTAAAATGAAAATTGTAAACAAGCAATCTGTATGTAAAAAAACCACCTGTATGTAAATTGTAAATAAGCCATCTGTATGTCAAATATGTCTTATATGTCTTAAATGACATGATGAATTGGAAATGGGGGACCCTGATGTAAACAAGACGAAAGTCTTTCTCTGGTCTGCATCCCCTTAACAATTGTATGTTTTGAGCTGTACTGTACTGTACCCAATATACAAGCTGTTAATAAACTTTTCAATCAATCAATCAATCAATCAATCAATCAATTCAATCAATCAATCAATCAATCCGGGAGCCTCCATGGGACCCCGGAAGTGGAAAATTATACATTGAAGTCAATGGAGAGAGAAAGGTTATCTTTTGATCCCCTTTGAATTGTGCCACGAATGACACATATGATGTTTGTCAATTTAAAAGAACATTTTACAAGTCAAAAAAATCAAAATGTGTCGTAAAACTGTGAAGTTACACATTTTTTTGTGTGAAACCGCTCAGTGAACTACAGGTCTCTGGTCTCGCACAAAACGCGTCACCATCACAAAGACGGCCGTCACGTTAGCAAATTTCACCTGTTTCTTTCAGAATGAGGCAAAAAGTATAAAACGAGGTGAACATCACTACAAGTCTGGGCATGTTAAGAGCTGTACATACACGAAAGGGGAGTTAGTCGGTAGTGTAAGAGCAGCGGGACCGGCTTTACAAGGTTTCGATGAGTAATATCTATGAGTGCAATGTGTAACGTTAATGTCAGCTAGTTAACATTAGCTAACAAGGTACACTAACGTGTTTTGTTTTAGTAACTAGTTTTCTCCTTAAGAAATTCGTGGTCTATGTGTATGCTGTGGATAACATTAGTGTTCACAAGAACAAGGTACACTCCCGTGTTTTGTTTTAGTTGCTCTTCAGATTGAAGCGGCCAGTTTTATATCGACTATTGTAGTGCCGAGAGATATGGAGTCAGAGGCGGTGCAAGGAAGGTGCAAGAATAGTGATTTATTCACAAACTGCAAAGGACATGTTGTCGGGTCGCAGCCCGGGTCGACAAGAAAGAGCCAAGAGGGTACACACTATTTATAGGTAACCCATAACATGTCCGTGTGGGAACAATAACCGCAACTGTAGTTCCAAGTTTGAATTATGTCCCAGTGGTTAAATAGGTGGTCACCACACAAGCCCCCCCAGAATTCAAACATGGCAAAAAAATATATATCCCCACGTCCGTGGAGGAAGCACCACAAGGGCCGAGGAGGGTGGGGCCGCAGGTGAGGACCGGGCCATGGAACGGGCCACGAAAGGGGGCCGCAGGAGAGGGCAGGGGCCCTAACGAGGGCGAGGGCACCCACACCGGGGGCGGGCCGTCGTAAGGGGGCCGCAGTAGGTGTCGCGGAGAACCCAGCAGGAAAGAGCGCAACCCGGCCGCAGGCAGACGCACAACGGCGGCTGGCACGAAGTCCTCGGCAGGCGTCGAGGTATCCCCGGAGGAGAGGAGCAGTCCCCCCGGGAGGAAGGAGCGCAACCCGGCCGCAGGCAGAGGTGCAACGGCGGCGGGCACGAAGTCCTCGGCAGGTGTCGAGGTATCC